CATTGAAGCAAGCCGGGTGCACGCCTTGTACGTTTGTCAAAAGAAACGAAACTGCTGGCTCGAAGGGTTGCATGAAACTACTAGGCAGTCACATTGTGAAAGGGCGCAAGCAAGTGGGTCTCCGTTTTCTCTCTCTCTCTCTCTCTTTCTGTGCTTGTCATGCTGGCGAACTTGGCAGCACAGCATCGACAGTTGAGGGAAAAGCAAGTCAAGGCGAGTGGGCGCAGCACTTGTGGGGGACTGGTTGGAAGGGAGGAGAAAGGTCAGTCTGACTTGCTGTTGGACGTGTCGTGTCACAGGCTATTGTTGGCACTGTCCAGCAAACATTCTTGCTGGCGATCCTTGATGGAATGCAGACTTTGTGAGGTCCGTATGAGATTGCATGTGTAGCGATGTAGCGTGTGGCCACCTCGCAAGCCCACGATGACAAACTTCAAACCTTGGAGATCTGACCTGAACTTGAAGATGTTCAGTGTAACTTTCGTTCTGCTGAGGCCAAGCCGCCATAGGGTTTCAGCACTGGTGCAGTGGTGGGTTGAGACCTTGACATGCGCATCTTGTGCGTGTGTGTGCGCGCGCGGGTGTGTGTGTGTGTGTGTGTGAGTGTTGCTGCTTCATGTGAAACCGTGGGTTGAAGTTACTCTGAATTTGATCCGTCACCAGGTTGCCGGCTTGTTGGTTGCTTTTGCATGGCGTGGCTGCCTGGAATGCCTTGGAAGACAAGCTTCAAACCTTGGAGATCTGAACAGAACTTGAAGATATTCAGAATAACTTTCGTTCTGCTGAGGCCTTGCATTGAAGCAAGCCGGGTGCACGCCTTGTACGTTTATCAAAAGAACGAAACTGCTGGCTCGAAGGGTTGCATGAAACTACTAGGCAGTCACATTGTGAAAGGGCGCAATAAAGTGGGTTTCCCTTCTCTCTCTGTGCTTGTCATGCTGGCGAACTTGGCAGCACAGCATTGACAGTTGAGGGAAAAAGCAAGTCAAGGCGAGTGGGCGCAGCACTTGTGGGGGACTGGTTGGAAGGGAGGAGAAAGGTCAGTCTGACTTGCTGTTGGACGTGTCGTGTCACAGGCTATTGTTGGCACTGTCCAGCAAACATTTTCTTGCTGGCGATCCTTGATGGAATGCAGACTTTGTGAGGTCCGTATGGGATTTGAGTTTGCGGCGATGTAGCGCGTGGCCACCTCGCAAGCCCATGATGAACTTCAAACCTTGGAGATCTGAACAGAACTTGAAGATGTTCAGAATAACTTTCGTTCTGCTGAGGCCTTGCATTGAAGCAAGCCGGGCCTACACGCCTTGCAAGTTTTGCAAAGGAACAGAACTGCTGGCTAGAAGGGCGGCATGTGCTTACTAGGCAGTCAATTTGTCAAAAGGGGGTGCGCGTGGGTTTGTGTGTGTGTGTGAGGCTGGCGAAGTTGGCAGCACAGCATTGGCACTTGAGGGAAGAGCAAGTCAAGGGGAGTGGGCCCTACTATTGTCAGCACGATTTAGGTAGAACATGTCAGGAGAGCAATGGTTGGACTGGTTGGAAGCCTGGCCTGTGGTCGCTGCTGTGTGCCAAACTAGAATGATGATCACATACATCTAATCATTCGCACTGAGACGGACAATGTGTTCCTCAGGGAGGAGAAAAGTCAGTCTGACTTGCTGTTGGACGTGTCGTGTCACAGGCTTTTGTTGGCGCTGTCCAGCCACCCTTTTTTGCTTGCGAGCCTTGATAGAATGCAGACTTTGTGAGGTCCGTATGATTTGAGTTTGTAGCGATGTACCGAGTGGCCACCTCGCAAGCCCATGATGTGACAAACTTCAAACCTTGGAGATCTGAGCTGAACTTGAAGTCCGCCATAGGGTTTCAGCACGGGTGCAGTGGTGTGTTGAGACTTTGACATGCGCAAGCTTGTGCGTGTGTGTGTGTGTGCGCGCGGGTGTGTGTGTGTGTGTGTGTGAGTGTTGCTGCTTCATGTGGAACCGTGGGTTGAAGTTATTCTGAATTTAATCCGTCACCAGGTTGCCGGCTTGTTGGTCGCTTTTGCATGGCGTGGCTTCCTGGAATGCCTTGGATGACAAGTTTCAAACCTTGGAGATCTGAACAGAACTTGAAGATGTTCAGAATAACTTTCGTTCTGCTGAGGCCTTGCATTGAAGCAAGCCGGGCCTACACGCCTTGCAAGTTTTGCAAAGGAACAGAACTGCTGGCTAGAAGGGCGGCATGTGCTTACTAGGCAGTCAATTTGTCAAAAGGGGGTGCGCGTGGGTTTATGTGTGTGTGTGAGGCTGGCGAAGTTGGCAGCACAGCATTGGCACTTGAGGGAAGAGCAAGTCAAGGGGAGTGGGCCCTACTATTGTCAGCACGATTTGGGTAGAACATGTCAGGAGAGCAATGGTTGGACTGGTTGGAAGCCTGGCCTGTGGTCGCTGCTGTGTGCCAAACTAGAATGATGATCACATACATCTAATCATTCGCACTGAGACGGACAATGTGTTCCTCAGGGAGGAGAAAAGTCAGTCTGACTTGCTGTTGGACGTGTCGTGTCACAGGCTTTTGTTGGCGCTGTCCAGCCACCCTTTTTTGCTGGCGATCCTTGATGGAATGCAGACTTTGTGAGGTCCGTATGATTTGAGTTTGTAGCGATGTACCGAGTGGCCACCTCGCAAGCCCATGATGACAAACTTCAAACCTTGGAGATCTGAACTGAACTTGAAGATGTTCAATGTAACTTTCGTTCTGCTGAGGCCAAGCCGCCATAGGGTTTCAGCACGGGTGCAGTGGTCTGTTGAGACTTTGAGATGCGCAAGCTTGTGCGTGTGTGTGTGTGTGCGCGCGGGTGTGTGTGTGTGTGTGTGTGTGAGTGTTGCTGCTTCATGTGGAACCGTGGGTTGAAGTTATTCTGAATTTGATCCGTCACCAGGTTGCCGGCTTGTTGGTCGCTTTTGCATGGCGTGGCTGCCTGGAATGCCTTGGATGACAAGTTTCAAACCTTGGAGATCTCAACAGAACTTGAAGATGTTCAGAATAACTTTCGTTCTGCTGAGGCCTTGCATAGAAGCAAGCCAGGCCTACACGCTTTGTACGTTTTGCCGAAGGGCAAAACTGCTGGCTATAAGGGTTGCATGCAACTACTAGGCAGTCAACATTTGCACGGGGGTGCGCGTGGGTTTGTGCGTGTGTGTGTGTTGTGTGTGTGTGTGTGTGAGGCTGGCGTTGGCAGCACAGCATTGGCACTTGAGGGAAGAGCAAGTCAAGGGGAGTGGGCCCTACTATTGTCAGCACGATTTAGGTAGAACATGTCAGGAGAGCAATGGTTGGACTGGTTGGAAGCCTGGCCTGTGGTCGCTGCTGTGTGCCAAGCTAGAATGATGATCACAGACATCTAATCATTCGCACTGAGACGGACAATGTGTCCCTCAGGGAGGAGAAAAGTCAGTCTGACTTGCTGTTGTGTCGCGTCACAGTGTCGCGTCACAGGCTTTTGTTGGCGCTGTCCAGCCACCCTTTTTTGCTGGCGATCCTTGATGGAATGCAGACTTTGTGAGGTCCGTATGAGATTTGAGTTTGTAGCGATGTAGCGTGTGGCCACCTCGCAAGCCCATGGTGACAAACTTCAAACCTTGGAGATCTGAACTGAACTTGAAGATGTTCAGTATAACGTTCGTTCTGCCGAGGCCTTGCATTGAAGCAAGCCGGGCCTACGTGTGTTGTCCGTTTTGCAGAAGGGCATGCTGTTGGCTAGAAGGGTTGCCTGTAACAAATAGGCAGTCAAAGTTTGAAAGGGGGTGCGCGTGGGTTTGTGTGTGTGTGTGTGCTGTGTGTGTGATTCCCGAGGCTAGCAGCCATGGGGTTTCGGCACGGGTGCAGCATGTGCGTGTGTATGTGCAGGTGTACATGTAGTTACGTCAGTACTCTGCTCATGCAACCTCTTCACCTGGGCTTCGGCTGTTTCAAGTGCTTCTCCCGTGCCCCTTCCTGAGAAGAGCTTATCCGAGTGGAACGAGCCGGCGGAGGAACTACAAATGGTCGAAAGTCGTCTCTGATTTGACACGGCAGGGAGGATGAGTTGGGCCTCGAGCCAAACGAAGAGCACGCACCACACATACATATCGAGGATGCATGTGCATGTGTCAGGTCTACAGTTCGTTGCCTTCACGATGTGCTGTGCCGCGCTGTCTTGCAAAACGCGTGGCGTCCGCGTGCTGTGTGACTCCAGGAGGGCCAGGCGAAGCGCATTGAGCTGGAGCAGGCTTGCGGAGAGCTTGGGCGGAGGGAGCAGTTGGGGCTTTCCTTGGTGCGTTGCCTTTTGTCCATCCAGTTCCCCCAGCAAAATCATGAATCAACCAGGGAGTGCCTGTTTTGCTATGCTTTGCTCTCCAGATGATCGCTGGGCAGCGAAAAAGAGGTTTGGGCATTTGAAGGGGAGCCATTGGCCAAGGGAGTCATGCGTGTGTTCGATTGGGGATTGGAGGCTTCAAGGCTTGGCCGGAGAAGGGCCAGCCCACTGCACTACGTAGGGTCTGAGCTGTTTCTGCACCCCTGGCCACAAGGCCATTTTCCTGTTGAGCTGAGTGGGGATGAAGCTTTCAGATTGAGCTCTGTGGGGCCCTATGGGCAAAGAGATTGGGAATGTTGCCCCTCCTTTCCACACATGAACGGGAATTCTGCTAAGGCGCACACTAAGGCGCACATAAACAAAAGGCAAATGGTGGCCGGACTTGAAGTTGCGTTGAAACAGGTTTGACAATCATACTGTGGGGTGCCACGGCTGGTCCCCCCCAAGTTGTGCAAGGCAACGCAATGTAGGGCCAGGATCCTTAACACCTGGCTCGTTTTGAATGTCCCTAACCCCGAAGGAAGGCTTGGAAAGGTCCTTGCGTTGCAGTAGTCTGCCTTTCTGCACAGACCTTGCGCGCCCTTCAGCGGCGGCCAGAGGCTGGGAGCCGGAGTTGAAGCTCAGTTTGGGGAGAGGCGCCCCATCCTCCTTTTGTGGGGTGCTAGGCATGACGTTGCATGACGTTGCGCTGAGGGGCACACCGGCCTTTGCTCAGGTGACGCTGGAGGAGGAGACAGCACGGCTGAACCGCTTCGAGCAGCCGCTCGGGTTTGACATTCGTTGAGCTGGGGGAGGGCTCGATTCGTCCGGCGCGGTTCAATCGCTGCGCGGCGTTAGTTTCCGCGGCTGAGGTGGGCAACTTTGATCCGTTTACCCTTCCTCACATGGAACCCACCCAAAAGGAGGCCTTTGGAACACAAGTTCGTGTTGGCGGGTTGGAGGGCATGCGTCCACAATACGGCAAGAGCTACCAGCTGCTCTTGGCCAATGCATGCAATGCATGAGTTAATAAGCTTCAGAAGCACAGTCTTCCTAACGAAGGCAGAAAGTGGAGTTCTCAATCCTTCTACATGGTGAGCCAGCCTCGGACACCCTTGCAGTGTCAACTCGCTCGAGTTGCAAGAGACACCGAAGCAAAACCAAAGAGGTAACCATGGGCAACCTATTTGTTTTGGTGAGTGTTTCTCAGTTGGAGACCGAGCCATATCATGTCATCGGATTGGAGCCCCGTGGCTTCCTTCCGGCTTGGCCCAGGCGGCTGTGGACGGACCTGGAGCCGGAGGAGGCGCCGGTGGTGCTGGTGGTGGGCACTGAGACGGAGACGGGGCAGGTGGTGCTGAGGCCGGAGGGCGTTGTTTGCGGGGAGGGCAGTGGGAGGGGGGGGGGTCCCCTTTCCCTTATGTGGAGCCTGAGGGCGGTGGGGGTTATTGCTTGTAAGGGCTCCAATGGACCTGAACAGCCTGATGCAGCCCAGCCCAGTTTCCGTTTCTCGGGAGGCCTGCGATTGTTTTCTCCTGACCTCGAAGAGGCTTTGGCTTGGCTCACTTCTTGAGTTCTTGAAGACTTTTTTCTTTTGGGACGGTTTTTTGTTCTTCCCCTGAGGATTGCGGGAACTCTTTCTGGGTGGTATACAGCAGCCCCACGGGCGCATGTTTGGGGCGTGGCAGGGGGCTCATTGTCTGGATGCATGCTTTGCCGCCTTTTCCGACTTGCCATTTCCACATGTCTGGTTCGCAGTCTTTGGGGTACGACGGACGACACGAAGACGTGCGAGAGGTAGGAACTGGACAACCAGCTGGTTCAATTGATTCTCTGGGAATTTTGACCTGTGCTGTGAAGCCAATGGTTGGCAGCAGCCTTCTTCAACAGAACTGGTGCAAAATACATGAACGGGGAGCTCCTGCCTCAACGATCAAAAGGACGGTCAAAAAGCAACGTGTTTTGGAGGAGGATATATTTATGTGTGGCTTCTCTGGGATTGGGATGGCTTTTGCGTAGCCCGTTTTCTGGGAAGAGATACCTGTCCATAAGCGCAGCTCTTGAAAGCTTGATGTAGCCAACGAGCAGATCCCTGAGGATTGTTTTGTGCTTCTTGCATGCTCGTCCGCCGGCGTTCCGATTCCTACCCAGAGAAAGGGGGTGTCTCTCACAGGGTATGCCAGGAAGCTGATCACCAGTGGCTACCCCTGCGTAGAGCTGAAGTCGGCGTCAGAAGGGCCCTTGGGTGTCTTGGATCGAAGGGGAGGCTGGCAGAAGTTCGAAAATCTGAGACGGGGCTACGGTTGGTTTTTCTTGGGGTTTATATTTTGTTAGGCTTGACGTCATGATTTGTTTATTAACTCCCGACAAGAACTCAGCAAGGCTTATTTGAAGCCTTCAGATTTATGATTTTTTTATGTTGATGAGATCCGGCGACACCTGTCTGAGTATCTTCCGATCATCCTGGTATCTCTTGGTATGGGTTTCCATTGTTTGACTGCCATCTTTGAGGCAGGCATTGACTTAAACAGGAAAGGGGGTTGTTCTACTTCGGGCAAAAGAAGGTGTGCGCTCAGCACCGGGAGTTGTCCTTTAATTTCCAGGCAAGACTATGCTTTTGGATGCGACGGTTGCCGTCCAAGTTCCTGCTCAAGCGGTGGTTTTCCACTGATGGTTTTGACATCTTCATTGGCTTTGGAATCAGATTCGTGCTTTCTTCTTGGGGCATGTTAGCTTCTCGGGAAAGGGCATTTGAACCTATGCCGCTTCTTCTTGTCTCGAAGCCATTGGCTTAATCCCCTGCACATAGACATGGACGCGGTGCCCCAACAGTAGATCCGTGATCTAGAGACATTGATCTTGGGGCTCCATGATTCTGATTCCTTGCAGCAGGTCCAGCAGCCTCAATAGCTTTCATATTGGGAAGAGCGAGGGTAGTGAAGCAGCGCATAGTTTGTCCCAAGTCTAGAGGCTCTGACTAATCGAAGACCCTCCCTTCCTCACAACAGCCCCCCCCCCAAGGTGCCAAGTGGCACGGTCGGCCGTTCTCGGCGATTCGCGAGGACGCCGCCTGTCGGAGGGCACCACCTTCGTGACGGCCCCTGGGCTGCGAGTCGGATCGGTTCTGCGGGGCTGGTTGGGCTGGAACGGGAGGGTTGAACTGCTAGGGCTCCACGCTCATATGCCATGGGTACATACGGGTACACCCGCGGCACTGCATCTTGCCCCAGAAGCTCGCCCTCTGAGCTTTGCGAAGCAAGGCCCCGAGCCCCCTTTGCAAGCCATGGTTTGAGCCCAAGGCTGTGGCGCAGACTCGGGACTTCCTGGGCACGCGGGACAACGTCAGCAACTGGGCGGAATGGAGCCGAGGGGCAAATTAGAAGGGTCCAACGGAGGCGCCAGCTGTCAATCTTTCTGAAGCGATCACGGTCATGGTGCAATGAAGCATGGAAGGCGGTTCCAAGAATCCTGAAATAGACGACAAAGACGGCCACGTTTGCTCATGGATTTATGAGCGCGGCGCGGTCGCATAGCAGGCTCTGCCATCAGAAGCTCTTTCCGCCCTTCGGCCTTATGCTATGGCCTCTAGCCTCCGCTCTGGACTTCCGTCGTCACCAGTCTCTAGATGGTTTTGGCCGGCAAAGACGCTCCTTCTCTTGCAAAGCAACGGCGTGAGCAGAAAAACAACAAACAACAGGCCATGTACATGTAATGACTGCTGGCGGCGGCGAGCTTGAGCGAGCGTGCTTACCAGGATGATTTGTCGACGTCCCTTGAAAATTCCAGGTTTTGTGGCTGCCGATGTTTCTTTGTTTGCGGCAGTGAAATGCGATGAAATGCGTCAGGCTGGGGACCTGGGAGTTTTAAATCAACTCACTGCTTGCAGCAATTCCCTCACTATCTTGCAGGGCGCACGCGCAGGGTATGGAACTCTCGAACGACTATATGGATGCTCGGGCGCAAAGCAGGGGCGGGGGGGGGGGGGGCTATTTGGGTTTCAAACAACTGCACTGCAAGAGTAAGAGGGGCTTCTGTCGCTGGAAGGCGCGGTGCGTGAGTGGAAGGCGTGGGGACGGAGCCTGAAGCAAGTTGTTGCCGGAACGCACCGTTGTTAAATGATTTGCTGGCGCCGCAGGCACGGACAAGGCCAAGAAGACGGCTTTGGGCACAGTTCCCGACAGCCTCTACGACGCCGTGGCTTTGCTGCACTTGGATCGGAAATGATCGGAACATTGTCAGAAATTAGCTGGAAACGCAATCACGCTTAGTACAGTGTGTTGCTTGTGCAGCATTGCGAGCCTGCAATGGACGGCCAAGGTCGCCGGAGTTGACAAGCTTGTGATTTGCGACTGTGATGATCCCAGCGACGACCAGGGCGAGGTGAGATTCCGAGCGGGCGGGGGCGTTTGTCGGACAATTGTGTGAATGGAGAGCAGCTGTGGGTTTGAGAGACAACCACTTACTTCTGTGGCTTGCTGTCAGGGCAAGAGTCGGCTGGGTTAGGGCGTCTGTTTGGGTAGCTCGTGGTGTGCAAAGGAGCGTTGGCGGCAGCATGTGCCGTGCTAACTTCATGGAATTGGGAGGGGTCCTTTACTTGGATCCCTTGTTATTCCCTTCCTTATTCGACATGACTGTAACACAAACTGGAGATTGAACTAGCGGTTTTCAGCCAATGGAAGCTGACAGACTCGTTTTTGCAGACTCTGGCTGTGTCCCCATGCTTGTTCAAGGGGCCCATTGTTCCGAGCCGCGCAGGTGGTGGGCAACGTCCTCAGAGCCTGGCAGATCTATCGCCAGGACTGGTTTCGGGGGGGGGGAATGGCCACCAGCACGCGTAGGGATTGCTATTCATGTTCGGTCGGAATCATGACTGACTCGGCGTGTGTGAGCATGCCAGGGGATTTGCCTACGCATGCGCATGCATGATATGATCTCTTGTTTTTTGGTGGCCTCAAATCTCGATGACGAGCGCCCCCTCCAACTTCTTCTAGTTGGATCAGTCGGTCAAGGCACTATCTATGAATATTGGCGCAGCATATTCTTGAGCAGCACTGTCGGGGTGGTCGCAGCCTTCCCAGGGCGTCAAACATGGGCAGACGGCATCCGACCGTAGATAGAGGCTGTGAGCTGGTCAGCGCAGACAGGTAGCCTTCCTTGCTCCTGAAACCCTGCCAGGACTTTGCCGAGAGTCAGCGTGCATACAGCAGCAAGGCGTGGGCGACTTCTGAAACTTGACCCTGAGACATCACGAAGTGCAAATAGATGCTGATAGTTCACGAGCGAGACTTGCTCGAGGATGCTAGTGAGAGAGGGAGAGTTCATAAGCAACGACTGCCGCGCGTTCCATTGCAGAATGGGGCCGTGAGCACAAGAATGCTGCGCAGCCCTTTGCTTGGGGATTATTCCTTGTTAAAATGTGTAGAGTTGGCCAGCAACAGGCTCAAACTCGGCAGAAGATGACGGAACCGATGTCCTTTTTCTTAGAACCTCTAGGCTTGTTATTGTTTGCGGCAGAGTGTGTCCGGATGTTTGTTGTTTCAAGGAAGTTTCGGGGAGCGATCATGCACCAACTGCGCTGCCTGAATTCTAGCAGGTGTCCCAAGAAGGATTCTGCGCTTTACATGGCAAAAGCAAAGGCAGCTTGCTAGAGCTAGAGGCGCGCAACCCATCAAACTGGGATACTGAAAAGGGAGCAAGGACCCAACGCCACCTCCCAGACAAATTGCAGTTTTCCCGTTGCGCCACAAGTCTCGCTTCCTTTCGATCCGCGAAGGTGCAGGTCTTCAACTTCCAGCGGAGCACCGACTTCGAGCTCTGGGATTTGGAGCGCCAGTACCCCTCGGACATGCCTTTTGGAGCAGTTGGGGGGTTGGTCGTTGGGTGAATTCACCGTGGAACTGCTGTTAGTTGGGGTCCTTGGGTACGGTCAGAGAGATGGCGCATTCGGCTTTAGCCTTACTGGCGGAAAAGGACATGACATGTGCCAGCTATTTTACCCTAGCGTACCTTGTTGAACAAGTGTATCATCTAGAGTGTAGACTGCCTCGTCTCAGGAAAGGTGGCACAAGGATGTGAAAGGACATCACTGTCAGGTTGGCGCGATCTTGCGGGTGATCGATGCATAGCTTTTGACATTTTCTGACGCTTCATTCAGAGGCATTCTGCAGCTTCGGAATCCATGGGGATATGTCAAATTCAATCGATGCAACATGCGATTGCATGAGGAAAACCAACCGTCATGAGACGGTTTCGGCACCCACAAGATCATATCCTGGGTGTTTGTGAGGGCCCTCAGCTCTGAAGCCTCCCAAGGCCCTTTTCCTGGGGAAGGCCCTGTCCACTCCGGCGAATTCGCTTCAACCATAGGAAGGCCCAAACGGGCAGTGGCCTTTGCACCCTTTGGCAGTGCTCCTCTAGCAGGTTTCCGATTTGGCATCTTGTGCCAATTTGCAGTTGCAAGGCATGTTCTTCGTTTAACGTAATGAAGCACAGTCACGTAGATGGGAATCACTTAGCCCTAAGGTCTGGGAAGCCAACGGCACAGGGTTTGGGCGTCGCAAAGGGGCCTGTCCAAGGTGCTACGGTGTGCAAAGAGCAGGACGGGAGTGGGAGGGGGATGGGCGGGTGGGTGGATCGGGTGGGTGGGTCGGGTGGGTGGGTCGGGTGGGTGGGTTGGTGGGTGGGTGCTCGAACAGCGTCGCGGCAAGACAAGCAGCATATGCCGTTTGTGACGTCCCTGTGGTGGGCCGCGGCTTGATGAGGGTTGTCCACATGGGGGTGCCAGAGGAACCTATGACTTCGATCTGAATGCTTTCGACCTGAATGTGCCTCCAGAATGACTTGAATGAACTTCCCACCCCGGGTGCTCCCATCTTGCCCCTTGCAAGGTTCTGCCTTTTTTCAGGCTGGACCCGGAACGAGCGGGGCACCGCACTCTTCATCGGTCAGTTCTTCGAGCCGCTGGGCCAGTGCCAGCTGAGGCGCGCACGGACGAGTGGACGGGCCACGCCACTTGGGTTGTGGGATGTTGCAGGCCTCCAACCCGCTGTTCGGTTGGGAGGCCTGTATCAGCGCCGTTTGGGCTGACTTAGATTTTGTTGAGGGTTGGGGGCCAGATCTGATGCCTTGTCTTCGCTGTGCGCCTTCCATTTGCGCAGATCGCCGAAGCTGAAGCTCAACTTCTCGCGCTTCGGGGGCATCATCCTCTGCGCGTACAACGCGGCAGTGAAGAACAAGCACCATGGCAGCAGAGATGACACTCTGACTGCAGGTTGACTCCACCCAAGCATAGCGGTAGCTGCGTCCGTGAGACGCTGTTGCAATTGTGATGCACTTGCTGGCCGTGAACTGGGCGACCCTGAAGCCGACTAGTTGTGAAGCCCCCGCACGCTTTGCTGCAGGTTCTCGTTTTTCGTGCGAACTTCGGACTTCGTGCCTTGCCTGCACGAAATGACCAGGTCTTGACAAAGTGCATGCAGAAGATAGACCAACAGAGAGGCAGCAGGAGCAGACACGACCAGCCCCCTGAGTAATGAAACCAGTGCACCCTGCACGTGCCAAGCTGTAAAGGAGAATGCACCAGCGTGAGCGTGGCATGGGTTGCCATGGCACATAGCCTGAGGAGAGAAGCAGAGTGCAGTTCGAGTTCGAGTTTGAGTGTGAGGCCACGGCCCAAGTATTTCAGAGCTGCCCTGTGGCTGTGCATTTCAACTCTCGCTGGACGCGCATTGGGCAATTTGGCATGCCCGACCCGGCCAAGGCCAGCAGCTGGAACTATGTCCGCATGCCTTTCAATGCAATGAAGGCAGTGCCCTGGCGAGGGCCTGGCCTCTTCCAGCCCCGACCCAGCATTGACCCCGTCCACCACCCCAAGCCCGGCGAGGATCAGTGCAGAAGCAAGCGGCTGTTATCCCTGGGAGTGGGCCTTGCAACCTTTGGGCGTACACCTTCCGGATCCATGACGAGGGGGGTCAACCTGCTACGGATGCCAGTGCGTACGCGTGCGTGTGTGCTAAACATTGTGCCCCTCACTCAGGTTCGTACGGACGGCATGCCGCTGCCAGAGGGCCTTGCCGGAAGCTAAGGGGCGCTGGTTCAGAGGTGTGGGGTGCACGAAGCGGAAACGCGGAGCCTTGAGCAAGTCAGCGTCAGCTCACCCCTTCAGCATAGTTCAGTTTGCCAGTTGCCGATGCTTGAATCACCAGCGTTTTCAATTCAAGCACCAAGCGCTCTCCTGAGGAAGTGGAGTTTCGCCGAGAAGACGTGGTGCAGATGGGCATTTGCTTCCGCAGCTCAGCCATGAATCCAGAGGGCCGGGCGGGAGAGTTGTGGAAAGAGCCCGGGTCGTGGGGATTTCCGTGAGTTCAATTGGTCCCACACCACTCTCGTGGCCGGTGAAGCTTGCGATCGTTGCAGGGCTGCTGCATATATGCCTACAGGCACGTTAGACGGTTGTTCTTGCAACACGAAATGCCCTACCGACTTCGGTTTTGGTGGTGGAGCTAGGGCAAGAGACGAATTCAGGCAACTTGGAAGGGGCAGGCATGGCTGCCCCACAATCACAATGCTGCCTTGCCCAGGCACCGAAGGGGAGGAACGGGTCTACAAAGGCTCCGGGGGAGGGACATGGGCGTACAGTGTTGGGTTGTTCACTTCTCTTCCCCTTGATTGCTAGCATCATGCTTGGCTTCTTGCTTTCTTGCTTTCCCGCATCCTTGCATGCGGGCGTACGGGTGTGCGTGTTTGCGCGCTTGAGTGTGTGTGTGTGTGTGTGTGTGTGTGTGTGTGTGTGTGTGTGTTCTTGTTTGCTTGCAGCCTCCTTGCCTGTTTGGCTGCTTCGTTCGTTCTTTCGTCCGTTCCTTTGTGGCTTTTGGTTTCTTTGTCTTCTCGTGTCGTTGTTTCTTCTTTTCAATCAGCCACCGCAAGGCGATCGCTTGAACTACTTCTCTCTGGCCATTGATGCCGGGCAGCCAAGACTTGGGCCGTTTCGCTGATGCAGCTTGCCATCCTTTCCGAACATAGCAACAACCTTGTACGCAGTGCAACAGATCTTGGCAAGGCTTTTCTTTGTGGCCTTTTTTGCATTCCCATAGTTTCGGTTTGGCATGCCGGAGCTTGGACCCAAATGATTGGGCTCTTCTATGTTTCCAGGTTGGCCCGGAGCTCTTGGGAACCCCCGAAAAAGGAAAACCGTGAGTTTCGGCTTGCCTTGGGGAACAAACGTGGGACACCATGTGCTTGTTGGGACGCTTGCGGGTCGCAAAAGCTGTCTGCGCCCAGTACATCAAAGCCTTCCGCTCCCAGAAGGAGCCGCAGGCGGACTCAGCGGAATGTTTGGATCACAGCTGGTTAGGATGCACCCCCAGAATAATATATGGACCCCCTATCAAACAAGGTGCGAGTGCCGGACTCCAAAAAGCAGTTGGAGGCCCTTTTTGGGGGGACCCCTTTCTGGGTTTCGCCTCCACATGTGCAGGATTCCACACTGGCGAAGGAGTTAGTTTAGCCAGGGATGTTTGATTGCATCATTTCTTGTTGCAAGTGGGAATGCATGGTCTTTGCTGACGTGGCTGTGCCTTTGATTGAGTTGCTCATACTGTTGAAGACTTGGCCAGGTTGTCTACGTCGGCAGTGCGGAGAGGACAGAGAGAAAAGCCGGGGCCAAAGCGCTCCCGCTCCCCCCTACGGGCTGTACCATTGTGTGGCCATGGCGTGGCATAGTACGGGATGGGACGGCCGTCTTCAATCTTTGGCTCCGTACGCAAGGTTCTGCAGAGGGCTTCCGCCTGCCCTGATGCTTTTCAAATCTTTTCCCGGGGGCGGGGGGGGGGGGGGCTTGGGTTGGGAGTCTGTTGCTATACATTCACAAGAGCGGCGTCTGGGGCTGAGGCGCATGCGACACAGGCGGAGGGCCAGAGGCTTGGAAGCTGGGGGCGAGTTGGGGTTTTGAGGCGGGAGGTTATGAGCGTGACGCGGCATCAATCGGGGCGTTGATGCCACTGCGGCTTTGAGCCCGCCGAACGTGGGACATCTCCAAAGCTGGGGCTCCACAAAGTCAGTTTTGTTTTTGGTATGCCAAGTCTTTAGGCAACCGCTGGGCTCAGACATTTCGACGGGCTTTCCAGAGCCGTCATCCGGCGGGCCGGGCTTGTAGAAGGTCGATGCCCAGCCATTCATGCGGGTCAAAGCGCAGACTCGCACGGTTCCAAGGTGTTTGTTTTTGGTTGGTCGGGACCTGATGGGCTGGCGTTTTTAAGTGCTACAAGCTACCGACAAATTGTTATGCCCTTTCTGTATTGAAACGAGCTAGAGTTCTCCGCCAGGGGCCCTTACAACGGCCTGTGGACACCGCCCAAGACTTCGGCAGAGGCGGGGGGGTGACAAGACTTACCGGGGTGCGTTTGGGCACGTGGCCAGTCGCTGGAAATCCACCTGGAATGGGCGGACTCGGGAGATGCCAAGAGAAGAGTGAAGAGCACAGCATTTGAGCCGCGCTGTGGTGTGTGGTGGGTGGTGTGGGTTCAATGCTAGCCCGCCTCGGCGCCTGCTGGGGATTAAGTTTTGAATGCAGCCCAGGTCAACTACTGCGCTGTTGTCAAAAAAACGGTTTTTCTTCCTGCTGAAGCGCGAAAAGACAAGAAAGCTTGCGGACCACACCCCGGAGCTGAACACCGAGTGCCAATCCCCCAACAGCCTGAGGCAATCAACAGTAGCAGACCAATTGAATCGAGCTTGGCCCTGCGAGTGCAGTGACTCGACGCTTCGCTCCGAAAAAAAGTTGTCACCTCAGGCCCAAGGGCCCAGGCAGATTCGATGCCGGGAAACCGCTTTTCGACATGGCCCAACTGAGGGCTTGGCCTTTGTTGACATATTGCAATAGGGTCTGGACGTAGAGCAGGGACTGATGCTGTTTCTTGCAAACAAGATCAAGCGTCACACTCGGCTTTCAGAGTAGAGGGCTCAATCCCATGATATTTTCGATGGAGCTTTGTATGAATGAATGCTCTTGTCGCCATCCACTTTGAAGCTGTTAGCTTTACAATGCTGTTGGTCCTGGGCGCCTGTTGGGTGCTTGCCGCTTTGTCAACGGTCCCGCGAGCTGGTTGTGACCCCTTTTTGGGATGACAAAAGTTTGTTCGAAATTCGCCGGCCGGTGCGGTCCAAAGGCAGTGCTTCGCAGTGGCCTGGCCTTCACCATGCTGCGGGTGAACGGGCTCAACGACCACCCGGGCGGGAAGTTCCCGGCTGGGGGCCCGGAAGCTGGAAATGGAGGTTGACATGGATTGACAGCCCGGCCAAGGGTGAGTGACGGGAAGTCAGTAAGTTCAACCCAGCTCATATTGGCCATGAAGTTTCATAGGGAACCACCTCCAAAGTGGTTGCCGGACATGGATCCCCACCTAAATGATGTCCACCAAAGGGTCCCCTATTAAGAAAAATCACCCCCCTCAAGCAGTCGGTTCGAGGTGGTCTTGGAGCAGGCGCCTTTGGAACGGTCAGGCGCTCAGTCGGAGAGTGACACGACAACGACGCATCGTTTTGGGCGTCGATGGAACTCCGTTCTGAGGTGCAATTCGGCATCACCTAGAATCGACCCCTCCAAAAGTGCATAGATGGCTTCATGGGTTGTGTCTTTGGTTGCATTGCAATAGGCCGCTCAGGCGCAATTTTACATTTTGTTGGTACCACTGAAGATGAATTTTCGGTGCAAATCAAATTTTGGGATGGGCTGTGTTTTTGAAAGGGATGTATCCTGCTTGCCCTCAACCGAGTACTGGCTGTCAGTCTGCGCGTGCCTGTTGCGCTCAGGCCACACCTTTCCTTTAGCTCCGAGCCACCTGGCTGGGAAGGGCTGGGCACGTTTCTTGCGGCTAGTCCTGCTGCGCAGGCGCTGGCAAGACTTGGATCTTGCTGGTTCAGCTTCCGCCCATTTCGGATTTTCGGCCACTTGTGAGATTGTCAAAACGGTACATCCCACACGGCTTGTGGCGTCTTGTTGCTTTGAACTGCTTGACATTCAAACATTTTGCTCTTGCTGCCTGTTGTGAATGATCATGACGAAGGAGAACACCTACGGTACCCTGGGTTTGTGGATTTGTGGAATGAGACTGGGTTTGCAAGGCCCGGCCTTGCAACAAGATCTCACGCGCATGCGAGCGCATGCGATGATCCCGAGGAGCGTGGGCTCCATTTCAAGGGGCGACGTGGCGGCGCTGCTGGTGTCCGCCATGTCGGAGCCCAACTGCGTCAACACGGAGATCATCGCAGGACGGGGGACGCCCATGCACATGGCTCGGGAAGCCGCACACGGAGAGTTGACTCCTTCCTGTGGCCCCGGACTCACCTCTTTAAAGTCGCGTGGCCTTTTCGGACATGGAGGTCATGATCATTTGCAGCCAGCCATGTGGTTCGCTGTTGTCAAGCATGGAGACTAGTAGCCTGCCTTGTTGGTGCTCAGCCGCTGGTGCTCAGCCGTTCTCATCCTGCCCATTGTATTGTGCAGCTACCATTGAGCTTCATGGTGTGAACTGGGGTGAGCCACGCAGCAGCAGCAGCAGCAGCCCCAGAGTACCAGATGCTCCCATCTAGTTCTATGGTAGAGTGCCTTGCTGCCTCCTGGGCAGCTGCCCGCGGTGCGCGTACTTGGTAGATGGGCAACCCTTCCTTGAGTTTTTGTTTGCAGCCCCAGGTTGCGACATGTTGACAAACAACAAGGCAGTGTCAACCCAACCCAACATTGGTTTGCCGATCGCATTTTACTAGAAGTTCCGTATACAAGCACCTTCCAACCCTTGAATGGCCAACATTAGCCAACATTAGCCAACAAGACCCAAGGAAAGCCCACCATCATTGTTGCCTCAGGCAAGCACGCACCATGACTTTACCGAGTCGGGCCTGGGCCACTCGCAACCTTGAGTCTTTGGAGCCCACTGTTGTGGAGCAAAACTCACATCCTGAAACACTTTGAGGTAGGCAATCTTCCAGTTTCCCCCATGTAACATGTGGCCATGGGGCATAACCTATGGCTCCATTTTGGGGTTCATCCATTTGCCACCTGTTTTGATGTTCACCAGGGTAGAGAGGGTTGTAACCACGACAAAGAACATGTTACAACGACAAAGGTCATTGTTACAACGACACAGAATCTCGTTACACCGACAAGTTTCAGTGAAGACTATCCCGACAAGGCTTCTACTACTATTACTATTACTGCCATTACTACTACTACTACTATTACTACTATTACTACTACTACTATTACTACTATTACTACTATACTATTACTACTACTATTACTACTACTACTATTACTACTATTACTACTACTACTATTACTACTACTATTATTACTACTATTACTACTACTACTACTACTACTATTACTACTACTACTACTATTACTACTATTACTACTACTACTATTACTAGTATTACTACTACTACTATTACTACTACTACTATTACTACTATTACTACTACTACTATTACTACTATTACTACTACTACTGCTATTACTACTATTACTACTACTACTACTAGTGCTATACTACTATTACTACTACTACTATTACTACTATTACTACTACTACTATTACTACTATTACTACTACTACTATTACTACTATACTACTACTACTACTATTACTACTACTACTATTACTACTATTACTACTACTACTATTACTACTATTACTACTACTACTACTACCTACTACTAATTACTACTATTACTACTACTACTACTACTATTACTACTACTTGCTACTACTACTTATTACTACTACTACTACTAGTAGTAGTATTGCTTCGCGAGAGGGTTCCTTCTTATTCCTTTCTATTGACCTTCTTATTCCTTCTTATTCCTTTCTATTGACCTTCTTATTCACCTTCTTATTCATTCCTATTCCTTTCTGTTGACATTCTTATTCCTTCTTATTCCTTTCTATTGACCTTCTTATTCCTTCTTATTCCTTTCTAATCACCTTCTTACATTCTTATTCCTTTCGATTCACATTCTTATTCCTTCTTATTCCTTTTTACTGACCTTCTTATTCCTTGCTATTGACCTTCTTAGACATTCTTTTTCCTTCTTATTCCTTTCTATTGACCTTCTTATTCCTTTCTATTGACCTTCTTATTCTTATTCCTTTCTAATCACCTCTTACATTCATTCCTTTCGATTCCTTCTTATTCCTTCTTATTCCTTTTTACTGACCTTCTTATTCCTTGCTATTGACCTTCTTAGACATTCTTTTTCCTTCTTATTCCTTTCTATTGACCTTCTTATTCATTCTTCTTCCTTCCTATTTACCTTCTTATTCCTTTCATTTCTTTCTATTGACCTTCTTCCTCCTTCTTATTCTTTCTAATCACCTTCTTATTCCTTTTCATTCCTTTCTATTGACCTTCTTATTCCTTCTTATTCCTTCTTATTCCTTGTTATTGACCTTCTGATTCCTTCTTATTCATTTCTATTCACATTCTTATTCCTTTCTAATCACCTTCGTATTCCTTCTTATTCCTTTCTACTGACCTTCTTATTCCTTCTTATTCCTTTCTATTGACCTTCTTATTCCTTCTTATTCCTTTTTATTGACCTTCTTATTCCTTCTTATTCGTTTCTAATCACCTTCTTATTCCTTCTTATTCCTTTCTATTGACCTTCTTATTCCTTCTTATTCCTTTCTAATACCTTCTTATTCCTTCTTATTCCTTTCTATTGACCTTCTTATTCCTTCTTATTCTTCTTAATTGACCTTCTTATTCCTTCTTATTCCTTTCTATTGACCTTCTTATTCCTTCTTATTCCTTTTATTCTTATTCCTTTTCATTATTTCCTTCTTATTCCTTTCTATTGACCTTCTTATTCCTTCTTATTCCTTCTTATTGACCTTCTTATTCCTTCTTATTCCTTTCTAATCACATTCTTATTCCTTCTTATTCCTTTCTGTTGACCTTCTTATTCCTTCTTATTCCTTTCTATTTACCTTCTTATTCCTTCTTATTCCTTTCTATTGACCTTCATATTCCTTCTTATTCCTTTCTATTGACCTTCTTATTCCTTCTTATTCCTTCTTATTGACCTTCTTATTCCTTCTTATTCTTTTCTATTCACATTCTTATTCATTCTTATTCATTTCTATTGACGTTCATTCTTATTCCTTTCTATTGACCTTCTTATTCCTTCTTATTCCTTTCTATTCACCTTCTTATTCCTTTTTATTCCTTCTTATTGACCTTCTTATTCCTTCTTATTCTTTTTATTGACCTTCTTATTCCTTCTTATTCCTTTCTATTGACCTTCTTATTCCTTCTTATTCCTTTCTATTGACCTTCTTATTCCTTCTTATTCCTTTCCATTGACCTTCTTATTCCTTCTTATTCCTTTCTATTGACCTTCTTATTCCTTCTTATTCCTTTCTATTCACATTCTTATTCGTTCTTATTCATTTCTATTGGCCTTCTTATTCCTTGCTATTGACCTTCTTAGACCCTTTTATTCCTTCTTATTCCTTTTTATTGACCTTCTTCTTATTCCTTTCTATTGACCTTCTTATTTCTTCTTATTCCGTTCTATTGACCTTCTCATTCCTTCTTATCACTTTCTAATGACCTTCTCATTCCTTCTCATTCCTTTCTATTGACCTTCTCATTCCTTCTTATTCCTTCCTATTTGCTTTCTTATTCCTTGCTATTGGCCTTCTTATTCCTTTCTATTGACCTTCTGATTCCTTCTCATTCCTTCCTATTGACCTTCTTATTCTTTGACCTTCTTATTCCTTGCTATTGACCTTCTTATTCCTTATTATTCATTTCTATTGTCCTTCCTATTCCTTCTTGTTCCTTCTTTTTCCTTCTCATTCTCCTTTCTATTGACCTTCTTATTCCTTCTTATTCCTTTCAATTGACATTCTTTTTCCTTCTTATTCCTTTGTACTGACCTTCTTATTCCTTCTTATTTCTTTCTATTCTCATTCTTGTTCTTTCTTATTCCGTTTATTGACCTTCTTATTCCTTCTTATTCCTTTCTATTGACCTTCTTATTCCTTGCTATTGACCTTCTTATTCCTTTGCATTGGCTTTCTTATTCCTTCTTATTCCTTTCTATTGACCTTCTTATTCCTTGCTATTGACCTTCTTATTCCTTCTTATTCATTTCTATTGTCATTCTTATTCCTTCTTATTCCTTTCTATTGACCTTCTTATTCCTTTTTATTCTTTTCTAATTCCTTTCTATTGACCTTCTCATTCCTTCTTATTCCTTTCTATTGTCCTTCGTATTCCTTCTTATTCATTTCTATTGACCTTCTTATTCCTTCTTATTCCTTTCTATTGACCTTCTTATTCCTTCTTATTCCGTTCTATTGACCTTCTCATTCATTCTTATTCTTTTCTAATCACATTCTCATTCCTTCTTATTCCTTTCTATTGACCTTCTTATTCCTTCTTATTCCTTCCTATTTACCTTCTTATTCCTTCTTATTCCTTTCTATTGACTTTCTTATTCCTTCTCATTCCTTTCTAATCACCTTCTTATTCCTTCTTATTCCTTCTTATTGACCTTCTTATTTTTACTTATTCTTTTTTCTTCACATTCTTATTCATTCTTATTCCTTTCTATTGACATTCTTATTCCTTCTTATTCCTTTCTATTGACCTTCTTATTCCTTCTCTTATTCCTTCTTATTCTTTTTTATTCACATTCTTATTCATTCTTATTACTTTCTATTGACCTTCTTATTCCTTCTTATTCCTTTCTACTGACCTTCTTATTCCTTCTTATTCCTTTCTATTGACCTTCTTATTCCTTCTTATTCCTTTCTAATCACCTTCTTATTCCTTCTTATTCTTCTTATTCCTTCTTATTGAACCTTCTCATTTTCCTTCTTATTCCTTTCTATTCACATTCTTATTCATTCTTATTCCTTTCTATTGACCTTCTTATTCCCTTTTATTCCTTTCTAATCACCTTCTTATTCCTTCTTATTCCTTTCTATTGACCTTCTTATTCCTTCTTATTCCTTTCTAATCACCTTCTTATTCCTTCTTATTCCTTTCTATTGACATTCTTATTCCTTCTTATTCCTTTCTATTGACCTTCTTATTCCTTCTTATTCGTTTCTAATCACCTTCTTATTCCTTCTTATTCCTTTCTATTGACCTTCTTATTCCTTCTCATTCCTTTCTAATCACCTTCTTATTCCTTCTTATTCCTTCTTATTGACATTCTTATTCTATTCACATTCTTATTCCTTCTTATTCCTTTCTAATCACCTTCTTATTCCTTCTTATTCCGTTCTATTGACCTTCTTATTCCTTCTCATTCCTTTCTAATCACCTTCTTATTCCTTCTTATTCCTTTCTATTGACCTTCTTATTCCTTCTTATTCCTTTCTAAATCATTCCTTCTTATTCCTTTCTATTGACCTTCTTATTCCTTCTTATTCCTTTCTATTGACCTTCTTATTCCTTCTTATTCCTTTCTATTGACCTTCTCATTCCTTCTTATTCCTTTCTATTGTCCTTCTTATTCCTTCGTATTCATTTCTATTGGCCTTCTTATTCCTTCTTATTCCTTTCTATTGACCTTCTTATTCCTTCTTATTCCGTTGCATTGACCTTCTCATTCATTCTTATTCCTTTCTAATCACATTCTCATTCCTTCTTTTTCCTTTCTATTGACCTTCTTATTCCTTCTTATTCCTTCCTATTTACCTTCTTATTCGTTTTTTTCCTTTCTAATGACTTTCTTATTCCTTCTCATTCCTTTCTAATCACCTTCTTATTCCTTCTTATTCCCTCTTATTGACATTCTTATTCCTTTTTATTCTTTTCTATTCACATTCTTATTCATTCTTATTCCTTTCTATTGACATTCTTATTCCTTCTTATTCCTTTCTATTGACCTTCTTATTCATTCTCATTCCTTTCTAATCACATTCTTATTCCTTCTTATTCTTATTCCTTTTTATTCTTTTCTATTCACATTCTTATTCATTCTTATTCCTTTCTATTGACATTCTTATTCCTTCTTATTCCTTTCTATTGACCTTCTTATTCATTCTCATTCCTTTCTAATCACATTCTTATTCCTTCTTATTCCTTCTTATTGACCTTCTTATTCCTTCTTATTCTTTTCTATTCACATTCTTATTCATTCTTATTCATTTCTATTGACATTCCTTTCTATTGACCTTCTTATTCCTTCTCATTCCTTTCTAATCACCTTCTTATTCCTTCTTATTCCTTCTTATTGACATTCTTATTCTATTCACATTCTTATTCCTTCTTATTCCTTTCTAATCACCTTCTTATTCCTTCTTATTCCGTTCTATTGACCTTCTTATTCCTTCTCATTCCTTTCTAATCACCTTCTTATTCCTTCTTATTCCTTTCTAATCACCTTCTTATTCCTTCTTATTCCTTTCTATTGACCTTCTTATTCCTTCTTATTCCTTTCTAATCACCTTCTTATTCCTTCTTATTCCTTTCTATTGACCTTCTTATTCCTTCTTATTCCTTCTTAGTTCCTTTCTAATCACCTTCTTATTCCTTCTTATTCCTTTCTATTGACCTTCTTATTCCTTCTTATTCCTTTCTAATCACCTTCTTATTCCTTCTTATTCCTTTCTACTGACCTTCTTATTCCTTCTTATTCCTTTCTATTGACTTTCTCATTCCTTCTTATTCCTTTCTATTGTCCTTCTTATTCCTTCTTATTCATTTCTATTGGCATTCTTATTCCTTCTTATGCATTTCTATTGACCTTCTTATTCCTTCTTATTCCTTCTTATTGACCTTCTTATTCATTCTTATTCCTTTCTATTCACATTCTTATTCATTCTTATTCCTTTCTATTGACCTTCTTATTCCTTCTTATTCCTTCCTATTTACATTCTTATTCCTTCTTATTCCTTTCTATTGACTTTCTTATTCCTTCTCATTCCTTTCTAATCACCTTCTTATTCCTTCTTATTCATTCTTATTGACCTTCTTATTCCTTCAAAATCTTTTCTATTCACACTTATTCTTCTTATTCCTTCAAAATCTTATTCCTTTCTATTATTCACATTCTTATTCATTCTTATTCCTTTCTATTGACATTCTTATTCCTTCTTATTCCTTCTTTCTATTGACCTTCTTATTTCCTTCTTATTCCTTTCTTTCTAATTCCTTTCACCTTCTTATTCCTTCTTATTCCTTCTTATTGACCTTCTTATTCCTTCTTATTCTTTTCTATTCACATTCTTATTCATTCTTATTCCTTTCTATTGACATTCTTATTCCTTCTTATTCCTTCCTATTTACCTTCTTATTCCGTCTTATTCCTTTCTAATCACCTTCTTATTCCTTCTTATTCCTTTCTATTGACATTCTTATTCCTTCTTATTCCTTTTTATTGACCTTCTTATTCCCTTTTATTCCTTTCTAATCACCTTCTTATTCCTTCTTATTCCTTTCTATTGACATTCTTATTCCTTCTTATTCCTTCCTATTTACATTCTTATTCCTTCTTATTCCGTTCTATTGACCTTCTTATTCCTTCTCATTCATTTCTATTGACCTTCTTATTCCTTCTTGTTCCTTTTTATTCACATTCCTATTCCTTCTCTTATTCCTTCTTATTCTTTTCTATTCACATTCTTATTCATTCTTATTCCTTTCTATTGACCTTCTTATTTCTTTCTTATTCATTTCTATTCACCTTCTTATTCCTTCTTATTCATTTCTATTGACCTTCTTATTCCTTCTTATTCCTTTTTATTCACAATTCTTTTTCCTTCTTATTCCTTTCTATTGACCTTCTTATTCCTTGCTATTGACTTTCTTAGACCTTCTTATTCATTCTTATTCCTTTCTATTGACCTTCTTATTCCTTCTTATTCCTTTCTATTGACCTTCTTATTCCTTCTTATTCCTTTCTATTGACCTTCTTACTCCTTCTTATTCCTTTCTGATCACCTTCTTATTCCTTCTTATTCCTTTCTATTGACCTTCTTATTCCTTCTTATTCCTTCCTATTTACCTTCTTATTCCTTCTTATTACTTTCTATTGACCTTCTTATTCCTTCTTATTCCTTTCTAATCACCTTCTTATTCCTTCTTATTCCTTCTTATTGACCTTCTTATTCCTTCTTATTCATTGCTATTCACATTCTTATTCATTCTTATTCCTTTCTATTGACCTTCTTATTCATTCTTATTCCTTCCTATTTACCTTCTTATTCCTTCTTATTCCTTTCTATTGACCTTCTTATTCCTTCTTATTCCTTCTTATTGACCTTCTCATGCCTTCTTATTCCTTTCTATTGACATTCTTATTCATTCTTATTCCTTTCTATTGACCTTCTTATTCCCTTTTATTCCTTTCTAATCACATCCTTATTGATTCTTATTCCTTTCTATTGACCTTCTTATTCCTGCTTATTCCTTTCTAATCACCTTCTTATTCCTTCTCATTCTTTTCTATTGACATTCTTATTTCTTCTTATTCCTTCCTATTTACCTTCTTATTCCTTCTTATTCCTTTCTATTGACCTTCTTATTCCTTCTTATTCCTTTCTAATCACCTTCTTATTCCTTCTTATTCCTTCTTATTGATCTTCTTATTCCTTCTTATTCTTTTCTATTCACATTCTTATTCATTCTTATTCCTTTCTATTGACATTCTTATTCCTTCTTATTCCTTTCTAATCACCTTCTTATTCCTTCTTATTCCTTTCTATTGACATTCTTATTCCTTCTTATTCCTTCATATTTACTCATTCCTTTCTAATCACCTTCTTATTCCTTCTTATTCCTTCTTATTGACCTTCTTATTCCTTCTTATTCTTTTCTATTCACATTCTTATTCATTCTTATTCCTTTCTATTGACCTTCTTATTCCCTTTTATTCCTTTCTAATCACCTTCTTATTCCTTCTTATTCCTTTCTATGACCTTCTTATTCCTTCTTATTCCTTCTTATTTCTTATTCCTTCTTATTCTTTATTCACATTCTTATTCATTCTTATTCTTTCATTTCTTTCTCCTTATTCCTTATTGATTCCTTTCTATTGACCTTCTTTTCCTCTATTCCTTTCTATTGGCCTTCTATTCCTTCTTATTCCCTTTCTTATTCCTTCTTATTCCTTTCTACTGACCTTCTTATTCCTTGCTATTGACCTTCTTAGACCTTCTTATTCCTTCTTATTCCTTTCTATTGACCTTCTTATTCCTTCTTATTCCTTTCTATTGACCTTCTTATTCCTTCTTATTCCTTTCTATTGACCTTCTTATTCGTTCTTATTCCTTTCTAATCACCTTCTTATTCCTTCTATTGCTTTCTATTGACCTTCTTATTCCTTCTTATTCCTTCCTATTTACCTTCTTATTCCTTCTTATTCCTTTCTATTGACATTCTTATTCCTTCTTATTCCTTTCTAATCACCTTCTTATTCCTTCTTATTCCTTCTTATTGACCTTCTTCTTCCTTCTTATTCATTTCTATTCACATTCTTATTCCTTCTTATTCCTTTCTAATCACCTTCTTATTCCTTCTTATTCCTTTCTATATTCCTTTCTACTGACCTTCTTATTCCTTCTTATTCCTTTCTATTGACCTTCTTATTCATTCTTATTCCTTTCTAATCACCTTCTTATTCCTTCTTATTCCTTTCTATTGACCTTCTTATTCCTTCTTATTCCTTTCTTGATTGATTCCTTCTTATTCCTTTCTATTTTCTATTCTTATTCCTTTCTATTGACCTTCTTATTCCTTCTTATTCCTTTCTATTGACCTTCTTATTCCTTCTTATTCCTTCTTATTGACCTTCTCATGCCTTCTTATTCCTTTCTATTTCCCTGCTTGTCGGGATAAGCCCGCAGGAAACATGTCGCTGTAACGCTTTTTTTCTGCCGTGGTAACATTGCACCTTGTCATGGTAACAAAATCGCGTTTTTGTCGTGGTTACAACCCCCTCTCTTCACCAGGGGTTTCCTGGGTTTTGACCCCAGCCATGTCATCCGATGAGAAGAAATGCGTAGTCATCCGAGCTGGGCATTGGACTCCTGTCAGGGGAGCCGAGTGGCACGGAGAGCTCCGTGGAGATCACCTCCACCCTGCAGGTGGCAGCATTTTCACGGCTGTGGCTCGGTGGTTTCCCCTTGGCTTCCTGAAAGTCAGCCCAAGAATTGATTTCTATTGGGTTGGATCTTTAGACTTTAAGATTTTTTGGAAACCAAGGGGTTTCCCACAGAAGCCACAAAAAGTGAAGCTTTTTGCAGAGGGGTCAACAGCAACCAAGAAAATAGTACACCATTCCGAATTCCCTCAAGAACAAACTGTCATTCTTTCTGAAAGGGAGTATTGCACGTGGAAAGAGATGGGTTCATGTTGCCCAACGATCCACTCAATACCATCATACTGGCAGATCAGGCTCTATGCGGACTTCAGCTCATATATGCAAGTCTACGAGTCATGCATGTGTGGGCTACACTCCAATTCCAAAGATGTATGTCAATGGTTCCAACGTGTATGGCTTCAGATGATGAGCGGCACGCCCTTTCCCTGCCAGGAAAACGTGGGAGGCCACTTGGCAGCATTGACAACGGGGAGGGGGTGGTAGCAAGCCTAAGCCCACGGCTTCCTTCTGAGAGAGCTGTGCGTTAGGCCCATGGGCTTAATTTATGCCAAATGGGGTGTGTTCGCATTCGCGGCGGACCATGGGGTGTTGACCGACAGGGTAGGGCTGTTCTTGCAACTAGCGGCCATGCGAGCCACAGTTTTTTGGCGGGCCCAATGGGAAATTCTGTGCTCGCAGTGCTCCAGCTCATTGGTCCACTGCAGGCTACTTGAAGCAGCTGACGCCCAACAAATGAGCTGCACGAGGTCACCCAGGCTTGGGCATTGCTGACAGGCTGCATGAGGTCGTCGACCAGGTCTGGCGCCAAAGTGGGGAAGGACGATCGGACGATGCGTGCCATTCTTTGCTCACCGGAGAAAGGGAATCCAACAAAACGCAGACGTGCATGTTGTGTAGTGCCACCGCCTTTAACCCTCTTCCAAGAGCCTTTGCATGCTTCATGCACACTCCGACCACATGCCAGCGCCAGGTGCAATTTGTGCAATCGTTTGAATGAGGGCATCGAATTCAATTGGCACTGCAGGCAGTGTTGTCACATTTGCGGGGAAAACTAGTTTCACACGACCATCATCGTTTGCTGCACAGTAAAACTGCTTCCGAACATCCGTACCGGCCCAAAGAGCAGGCTGCAGACTCATTGGTACATAGTGGCGCGTTCTTTGTTCCCAGCCGACTCCTCAGGGTTCTTTCTGCTTCAGATCCTTGCATGGCGTTTTGGCACTTGGGGACTCGCAGTGACAAACATAAGTTGCCCAGCTTCAAGTGGCCGTTCGGCAGCTGGCAGCGCTGTTGATGCGTTGGGGTTCGATTTTGGGCATTCCCTGTCCGGGGTCTTCTCACCTCACTGGTCAATGGAAGTCCGCTTTGCCTCAGCTGCCTCGCAGATTGTGGCCTGCCAGCAGGGTTTCACACACAGTGTCATCGTGGGGCTTGAGGCTCTCTCCGTGACGAGCTGGCCGTGCCGGCCATCAATGATTCAAGAGTCGCTTGTAGGTGAAAGAATGTAGTTGACCACAAGTTTGTTGTGCAGATGATCAGGTGAGTGCATGTCTGCATAATTTGCCTTGTTCTTTCAATGCCCGTGACTACTTGTTACCCAATGACAACTGCCGTAGACCAACAGGCGCTCTTTTCCAAGGTTATGGGGCGCTTGATCTTGGCTTAACAGTCACACATAGCTTGCATGAATCCCTCCTGAGACCTTCCGAAGTCGCAAGTCTGGGGGCTCCGCTCGTCACGGGGCTCTCTTCCTTCGGCCGGCGCAGCGCTTGCCTCGCAGCTGGCGATCTTTTCACGGCGCGGCAGGTGCGGAGCATCTGGGCGGGAAGGCAGCGCTGATTTCTTCGTTCAACAGGCAACGGAAGGATTGGGCCAAACAGCTTCAACGCAGAATTGGGCAGGATTGATTGCAGGGTTTTCTATTCTTAGGGCTGCCTTGAAGTCATGAAAGCACTAATATGTTCGGAGAGCTGTGTTTTTCGCTGTTACACAGGAAGCAGAAGAAGCATTGGCGTTGAGCAACAGGACGTATGTTTCTAGAGAGGTGCGTGTCCACTGAGGCATGCATGTACACATGGCATCACATATACTATAACGACACGAAGCCGGCCGACTGCTGACTGATCCAGTGGTGCTCATGTTTCCAATACGTCAATGCTTCATTGGGAGTCGGTTATACGGCGTGCACTTGCTGGGGGAGGATTCCAACGCAACAGCAGTTTGGTAAGGAGGCGGGCAGAGAATTCTGTTCCAAGTCCCAAGCCCCAGGCCCTGAGGAAGCTGCCGCTTGCTTTGTCGTTGGCTTTCTGCTCCGCAGCTGCTTGCTGCCGCTCCACCGCCGTCGATTTCTCGTTCTGAGGATTTTCTTGAGGCGTGAGTGGCGCCCCGAAGGTGTGGGGACAGAGCGTGCTGCGAGTGCAGACTTTGGAAAGATGCCATTGGTTTTGAGCCCAGGTTGCTCCCAATCAGAGTATCGAATGAGCAAGGAGCATCACAGCCAGAAATCGGACAGAATGCGTTCCCTTGTGTAGCAGGCCACCAGCAGGCCCGCCTCATGCAGCCTCATGCAGCCTGAAGGGTTGCTAGCCACTCGTCAGAATGCCGGCACGCCTTAATAGCAGCTGCAGCCTTCTTGCATAGCGTGCGGGCCGGCATGAGCAAGTAAAGCCTAGCCCGGCCAATTGGCCAACCGGCTGGCGCAATTGGAAAGATGGATCGCAGTGATGGGCCAAGCAGAGCCGGGGTTGAGGCGACCACGCGCGAGCGCGCGCGCGCCACGTGATGCCAACTTTTCCAGGTTTCAGCGCGTTGGAGCAGTTTTCGCAGAAAAGCTTGGTGTGCCCTTTTCCAGCCGAAGCTGCTTGCACAGAAAAGGGAAGACGGTTCCACCCGGGGCACTATGGCCTTTCCGCTTGCTTCTTCAGGCTCAGCTCGGAGGTGTGCTACTCCATCCTGCGGGAGTGGCCTGTCACGTTTCAGGGGGGGGTTTTGCAGCACTAGCCTCGTATGTGGTGGGTGTATGTGTGCGTATGCGCGCGCGTGCCTGTGTTGCATGTCAGTTGTGTTTTCACAAGCACGCCTGCCGTGTTGGAGGTTTGAGTACTGTGGATATGAAAGTTACAATCATAGTATACTAGAATGAAGACAAACATCGCAATGACAACGGATGATCATATCGTGATGGCTAAGAATGGCTAAAAGTGCCTAGGAAGGTGCAGGCAGTGGGGTTGAACATAAGTCAAAGAAATTAGACAGAAACCATGCAAGGGACATGGAAGGAAGTGGCCCTGCCACAAGCTGTCGCACAGTGGCTTGAAGTTTGTAGCGCCCGGTCAATGTGCACAGGCTGAGATACGGTGATATGCCGACCAGGCTGAGCAAGCTGGTAGCAGGAAAAGTTTTCCGAGACCCAATGCACTGTGGGGACATCAGGCTAGGTGTTCTTCAACCTTTTGTATTAAGTAGTGTTTCAGTGGTAGAAACAAATGTCTGTATATATATATATAGATAGATAGATAGATAGATAGATAGATAGATAGATAGATAGATAGATAGATAGATAGATAGATATGTTATACATAGATGGCACTTTGTGATCATGCAGGGTCCCGGACACCTTGGTGAAGGGATTGGGTGCGCAGGTACAAGATGTTCAACTGCGACATCATTGTGCCGCTTGGCGACCTCATTGTGAGCAGATTTGGCAGCCCCAAATATCCTCCTTATAAAGTGCCCCCACCTGGCAACATTTGGAAGACTGATGTGACGGTGCGTTCGCTTAAGCCTTAAGCCATGTTTGCCACCTCTAGTCTCCTTCATTTGCTGCCCAGGCACGAGGATGCGACTATCGATGACTTCATCGATGTCCTGGAGGAGGCTTGTGGTCTTGGCCCAGAGGGGTATCCTTGTTCAGGCGAAGGAGGAATCAGTGAGTGGTGTGCCATTCCTTTCTAAATCCTGAGGACCTTAACGGGTATAGTTTGTGCATGGTGCATTCTTGACTGCCTTGACGTATTTCACAAGCAGTGGATTGCCTCGTTTTCCGGCCATCCGCCGCACAGACTGGCACCGCCCCCCGGCAGTACTGCAAGTGCATTTATGCCGCTGGGCTTTGCAAGCGAGCGCAAGAGGAACAGGTTGGGGATTTGGGTGGCGCTGAGGGCCTGCAAATGCCAATCAGTGGTTTGACCGGATCAGGTTGAACCCATTTCAATTGCCTTGCTTCCAGGGTGGCTGCTTGTGGAGCGCACTAGACCTGAGGTGTACAACAAGATTGACATGCTGAGTCTCAGTGGCTCGGCTTGGGTTTTCAATGTAAGGGAGTTGTGGCAAGGTGGGCCTCGAGAGCTAGGGCCATTGTTTCGGCCAGTGTGTGGCCGCATTGAGTATGGTGCTCTTTTGTTGGGTTTGGGTGGCAAGGGACAGGGCCGCCACTCGCCGATTGTTCCCATGCTTTCTGGGTCGGCAACGTGGCAATCCCAAAACCCAGGGCTCGCTTTGTTCATCGCTCTCTGCAACTTCCAGTCGCACGTGGTTGGAGCTGCAGGCCAAGTCGAGGAGCTGGCACGGCAGCCCTTCTCAGTGGTCATCTCTGTTAGCAAGGAGCCGGGGCCCCGAGGCCCCGAGGCCCCGCTGCCCCTCTCAGGAGAGCAGGGCGGAGAGACACATGCTCATGCATACTAGTAGCAGTGGAGTCGAGCCTGCTAGGCTGAATCTGGATGGCCTCCTCGAGCGAATTTGGCAGGACTTGTGGCGAGAGGATTTGGAAGTGTGGTAGTTGGGTTGCGCACACCTTCCCTCCAGGGTATGCAGCATGCATTTCATGCCTTAATGCGCTGATTGAGTTCAAAGCTGTCATGAATTGCTTGCCGACCTTGCACGATGTTTGTATAGTGCTATAGCTAGGGCCAAAAGCCACACCAATGCGTCATGCACTGGGCCACGCCAACGGTTTGGCTTTCTTTGCATCTTTGTATTTCAAGCACGCGTGGTGCCTGCCGTTTTTGCAGAGGGCAGGCAGATGCGCACACGCGGGCTCCATAGGACTCCTGACTCGCTGCCAGGAGCTGGACCTGCGGCGGGTCTACACCAAGAAGAAGGCCCAGCTCAGCCTGGCACCTCCCTTCGTTGAGGTCTGACACCCTCAGATGTTCCAAAGCCAAGGCCTGTCACTTTTCTCATTGAAACTTTCTGCCTGGTTTGCAGCCGGCTTTTGGCTGAAGATGAACAACCCAAGAAGGGCAGGCCGCTCTTCCCCACAAACCAGCAGGGAACAGAGAGGACGCAACATGTGGTAGGCCCTGAAATGGAGGGGGGTGGTTTCTGCCACCCCCAGCCTTTCCTGACCCCTTCACGTGCTCCCAAGAAAGTCCTTAGCGCTGGGAGCTGAGCTCAGCCCCAGACAGCCGCAGGGCGCAGGTGTTTTAAGCGCAACATGGCCAGGGTCAGTTCCCCGACTTTCATGAGCCGCCGGAGGCTCAGAGAGTACCCGAGGCGGGCTTAGGATAGAGCGGTGTCCCCAGCTTGGAGGACAGCAACGGGCCGGAATGGTTTGACTTTGAACCAATGGGAACGGCCAGAGGTTGAGAGATGGCAGTTCTATGCATATCAAGTCAATCAGAGTGACCTCGCTCTTTCAGAGCTTGCTTCCTTATCATCAACAGATGTACGTTCATTTCACGGACTGGTCCCGAAAGCTTGATCCCAGTTGCAGCACAGGTCTGGAGGCAGCTTGCAGTGAATAGGATGTCTTCATCTCTGCATGATTTTTTGCAGAGCAATTATTTGCCAAAGTGCAGTCCTTCCGTTTGTTCAAGTTCTGCCTCGTGAATGTTCATGATGTTTACGATGCCTTTTGCTCGCAATACTTGAAACTCAGGATTGTCCTGACTTGCCAGCGCGGCAACAAGACCATGACAGTCGAGAACGCCGTGGGATTGCTTCACAAGCTCCTCGCATGCATTCATTCACGTGCTCGGCGCGGGGTGTCTTGTGTTTCCCCCCGAGGGTTGGTCTTGTGTTGGGTGGTTTTCCAGCATGCAAAAGGGAGTCCTGCGACTCAGCGGCGGAGTTCCATGACAGAGGCTTCACCATGCGCGCTTGCAGGAGCCTGCTGGACGACTTCAAGCGTGGCGCCTCGGGTTCGTTCCCTGCCATGGCACCTGCAGTTGGATGCCCATTGGCCCTGGGTGTTCTATGCGGCGTATGTCACTTGCATGCCAGTCGTTGGCGGACGGGTTTTGACAAACAGCGGGCCAGTGGTTGATGCTGAGCAATGGATCTGCCAACCACGGCCGTGTGCGGATCAAGCTCCACACGGCATTTGGCCCACTTGTTCCGCCTATGGTCGGCCTGCAGGCTTGATGGTGTATTGGGAGCAAGTTGTGGAGGGCAAGCCTTTTTACGTAGTTTATTAGAAGATCGAAGACGCATGCGTGTCGCCATTCGCTCATCATCAGGCACACCCACCTGTCAACAATGCAAGTGAAAGCTTGTTTAAGCCTCAAAGGAAGGCATGGAACAAATAGCCCTCCACACACGGAAGACAACTCGTATAAACCTCCACCACGCCGCCCACGCTCAGACCGCAGGGCCCCCATGCCGTGGTTCCTGGGCCACGTGAGGACGGTCGGGATGGCATCTCAGGGAATGCCAGGGGGCATGTTCTGAGCGCCAGGGCGATGCCTAGTGGATTAAAACAGTCCATACGCACTTGCCTTGGGGGGAAGACATCGTCACTGATTTTCAGAATGGAGCTTGTTGTTGAATTCACTGTACAGGCCCTGCGGCACTCTGCCTCAAAACTTTTGGCCTGGAACGCTTGTTTGGATGCAAGGAACATGTTGGTGCAACTGCTCCTCTCCGATTTCCGCGGCTTAGGGCTTGGGAGAACAGAGGCCAGCTGCGTCCATTGTGACTGCACCAGGACGCACCGAAATCGCCAAACGTTTGTTTGTGCCTTGCCGCTCGGCCTGGCCTGCTGTGTCCGGACGTGTCGCCGTGGGTCGCCGATTTTATGCTGCGCCTGCTCCATGAAGTGAGCGGCCGTTGGCTCCCAAGTCTTGGCGAAGCTTCAAACCAAAGTTGCTAGGGCTCCTCGTACTTTGCGTTGTGGTTTGAACAAAATTCTCAGGTCGGCCTTGTGCTTTTCCTCTACACCTTTCTGCTGGGCCTTGACTTCCTCCATGCATCCTGCAAAGCACTTGCGGCTGGAGGCAGGTGAGGGCTGTGAGGGGTTCACAGCCCGCAGCGCGACGAATCATGCGCGACGAATCACGCGCGACCGTGTTCTTGCTGGGGGGACTTGTGTCGGATCTTGCTGTTGCACCTTTTGGCAAGCTGGGAGCCAAAGTTGGCAATTGTTTCTTGTGCAAAAGGCCTGGGGAGGGTGCGGGATTCGCATGCTAGGCTGCGTGCTTGTCTGGTGTCAGATGTGGGCCGCAGCTAGAACGAGACTAGTTTCAACCAACCACCTGAGACTGGTTTTTTTACCAGCTGCGTGCTTCAGATTTACGATGGTTTGCGTGATCAATGTGATGTCCTGTGCACGCCCGCATGATGGAGCCTCCCCTGACATCGTTGTCAGCTCCTAAGAGGTTATGCCGCTATACCGCCATGGTCCCATATCCTTGGCCTGTGCAGATTGACATCCTTCACTTTGTTGCTTGCGGACATGGCCTGGACATGCCCTCGATTCCTAAAGTCTCAAACCGATGGCACTCAGGAGCTCGGATACCCTGAGCGCTGCAACCTTTCAACCTTTCAGCCTTTCATTTGCAATGGTCAAGTGGTTTCAGCGGTTGCCGCTGAGCACTCCGCGGTCGTTTTTCGCAGCGAGGTGCTGCGGAGCTCTTGGCCATTGCCCAGGGCCCGATCACAGGCGGGAAAGCCCAGCTGCGACCCTCCAAGCCTTGTTGAAGCGGGACGTTCCCGGGCCGCCCGTAGCTTTCGGACACTTGAAGGCCGATCAACATGTTGAGTTTCGAGGGGTTGGTTTCTTCCATTCTGCGGCAGGTGTCATGGTTTCCTGGCAATGCAAGAGGTTTGGCAAAGGCACGCCTAACAGTATCAACCACTCTTGGGACGTCCCCACCCTTCAAAAGGGAGGCTGGCCCTGGAATTCCATCCATTTTCTCGGGGAAGGCTGGAAAGGGATTTTGGGATGCCACTGGCACAACCCATGAATCTTCGCAACTGGCCAGCTTATAAGATGTTTATCCACATTTGCAATGCTGATGTTTCCGGAGAAGAGGTACTGGCGTACGCGCGCTGCCTTCCCCATCTTTGATACTTATCAATCGAGCCTCCTAGAAAATTGCGACGAGACAGTTGTTGAGGCAAAACGTCGTTTTCCTTGGAAAGAAATGGGTACGAGTTAGAATTAAACCACCAGGGGACCACAGGTCTTAGTCATTGTTTCCATTTACCAGGGTGCCATTTTGGGTACCTAGTTTTGACCCACAGCCAAATGCTCAAATTTTGGAGCCATTTTTGGAGGTCTGACGGCAGGGATGCTGGCCACTGCGCTGTTCCAGTCGTCCAGCCCAAGCACCACCATACTTGCAGCTCGGAGCACTCAGCCGATGCCACGGAGAAGGTTCCTCGTTTCCCAGCGCCGAGCACACAGTCAGACTCCAACATGCACTGTTCTTGAAGCTCAAGTCGGGAGATTACGTCTGCAGAGGTTGGCTCGCTTTCTTTTTGCAGCAGCTTCTCCGATCTCAGGTGGGCCTGGTGGGTTCCGGCCGCCTGGCCATGCCTCATGCCATTCCCATGATCATGGGCGCCTTGGCATGTTCTTTGCTGATGCTGCCCCTTTGACCTTTTTTCGCATCCATCGGGATTTGACAGTGGAACGGGCCCACCTACCCACCCCAGAGCTTGTTCCAATGTTGATCAGGCTTGGCGGGGGGAGGTTTTCGGATTTGCGAGTCAGCTTCGGGGCGGGGGGAGCCTTCGATTTTTGGCGAAGGCCCACGCCGTTTTTATTTGCGCAGTCTGCTTCCTATGTCGGCTTTGTTTCGGGAGGGGATGCGAATTGATTTGCACATGCCTTGCATGTGAATATGTTAATTCACGTCTATTATTGCATCCAGTATAGCCATCATATTGAATCGAATCTTAATTTCAAACAGTTTGAGCATCAAATTACTTTTGTCACAAAAGCACGGCCCCCGATAAATGTGCTTTAGGGTTGGTTTGCTGTTCTTGCGTTTTCGTGTGTTCATGCCGTTTTCGCGTTTTCGCGTGGCATTCCGCGAATCGTGGAAAACGCACATGGATCCCCTCTACAGCATCCATGGGGTGGCTTGTGTGGCCAACTGCCCAAAAAAGCACTCTCTGAAGCCTCTCGCTATACTTGCCTGGATGCTCGGCTGGGTTGCGTGCTTTTGTGCAAGAAGCCATTGGACATCTGGGTACGGGTCAAAATGAAACCAGCGGGGGACCGCAGGTTTTAGTCTTGGTTCCATTTTCCAGGGTTCCATTTTGGGTACCCATTTTTGACCCGCAGCCATTTGGGCATTTGGGTTGGATGCCGTTGCGGCGGTCATGCTGCTGGGGGGCAAGGGGCACAGGGCCTCCATCTTGAGGCGCCAACATCGGCACTTGCGTTACCAACACCCTGGTCTCGTTGGCCCACATCGGCCAGCCACGGGAGTGCCACAGCGAGAAGGGCTGGGTAGTGGCTATGGTTCCAGGCCCCTTGGGGCCTTCAGTTTCGGCATGTTGGCATGTATGTCTGGCCAAACGGATTTGGCTGACTTGCAGATGGGGAGCGGTGGCTTTTCAAAGCCGCGTTTCCCGCATCACAGGCTCCATAATAAATCCAAGTTTGGCTTTCTCACTACTCGCCCTTGACTCAGAAATTGGCTGCCCGCATCCCAGGTTGGAGAAGGCCTTCAGCGGCGCCACAGCTGGGGTCTTAGTTCAATGGGCATGGCTGTTCTTTCGCACTCAGTTTCAACAAGTTGGGGCAACAGATTGGGCATCTATAGGCCGGGATAGGCCGGGCAAATGGGGACTGGGGAGGCGAGCCTTGTCTTTTGTCAGATTGTGGACAGTCGGAAAAAATCAAAGCTCGTTCAAATTGCGTTTCTTCAAAGTGACGCCTATCCAAGGCGCACGAGGCTTTCAACCTGCTGCCGCTTGGCTGTAAGATTCGCCTTTTCCGCACTCGCACGGAGCGTAGATGTCAAGACATGTCAAGGCATTCAATCAGTCACGAGCCGGTGGCCCGCTCATTTCTGCACAGGTGTAGTTGGAACCGCACGCGGTTCAGCACACGACATGCGCCTGACCTGGCCACATGTTGAGGCCCCAGATGGCTCACAAGAGTTGTGTCACCTGTTCATGACAAAACATGTGCTCCACTTAGACTCATGTAGTTGCGCTTTACAATCGCCCTCTCCCTCGCTCCTGTTCTGGTCTTTTCCTTTTCAGGACCACCCTGGTGCTGCTTCCGCTGGAGGTGATCGTTGCTGCTATTCAGGGTGAGGGAGGCACAAGTTCGATTCCCAGTCGGAAGCAACTCACATGGTGTTTGATGGGGCTGGCTTGAGGCCAAGCATGCCATGCCAGGCATTCATTGCGTATTGATTGGTTTGCTCTACATTTCTCAAAGGAATCGTGGCTTCACTGGATGCATTCTTTGTCCCGAAGTCGCTGAAACAACCGTGTGACCGTGACGTCGGTCGGGATGTGGCAGTGCATGGGGTATCCCACTTGTCAAATTTGTGTGGAACCCAGACTCACACATACATGATTATTCATATGATCTATCTATATTGGCAGCAGTGCACCCCAAGCAACTGCCGGTATGATGCTTCCTGTTGCCTTGGCACTCCTTGAGCTTTAGGACGCGCACGAATTTTCGCTGGGTGCGCATCGCATTGTGTCCCGTGCATCTTTTGTTGCTTCTGGCAACTGCCCGTTCGTTTTTGGATCTCAGGTTTGGTGTTTGCTTTTGACGGATCGTCCCAGGTGTTTCAAGCCCGCGTGTCCCGCTTGCTCGTCGCAGGGCTCCTCTACTGGGCGAGCCGTTGGCTGTCGACTGGGGGCCCTCCGCAGCTGTGGCTCCCCGGCAGCCAGGCCAGTGGGTGGGTCGCAGGCCCCACCACATGGTGGCTTCCCAGGAGGCTTTTGGCAGGCGATTTGATCCATTCGGGTGGGTTCGAGGTGACATGGTCTGCGAGTGACAACTTCATGGCTTTGGATTTGAGGCATCAAATGACAGAAGATGCAGTGCATGCAGTGGATATTAGAAGCTCCTGACATGTCAGGGTGTTGTCAACTGGATGGGGGGTGAGGCCCGCACGGTCGCACGTTTCCCCAAACCGTGTACAGCTTGGCTCGTGGGAGATCCGCCGGCCAGGGGGCGGTGCGTCCCCTCACGGAGGTGCTGCTTTCGCCCGATGACAATGCCTGGACCCTGGAGGGGCGGGCGGCTGTCACCAAGACGCTGGGGCAGGAACCAAATTTCCATGGACGATTGCTGGAGACAAAGCCGCGGATGGTGAAAAGCAGATACTAGCCGCTTCCCCCCAGGTCCTTGCAGCTCTGGCTTCTGGACCTCCAGTTTCGTGTCTTGGAGGCATCTAAGTTTTGGCTTGGCGTGAACGGGAGGGCGTGAAGGGGCGGGAGGAGACGAATTTTGCGGGTATAGCCCTCCCTCGAGGCATGCGACGAATGCGTCGACCTGTGTTGTGAGAAGTTGCCGGGCCTTTTTCTGCATCGACGAGTCGGTGAACTGCTCCGAGTACTACTGCTTGCCCGCAGGCACCGAAGAGGCCGGGGCAGAAGCCGCGCTTGCGGAAAGGTGTGCGGTGCTCTGTGAGTTGGAAGCTGGTTTCAATTATTATCTATAAATAAATGTGATTCTGATACATGAGTGCACTTTGTCCACAGCTTGGGGGCGCGCGCAAGCACGCGGTTGCGACTGATGCACATAAAGAGCTGTGCGCGAATTTAGAAAGAACAAGCAACTATTCGTGAATATCTATTCATGCTGAACTTTGCATTGATACATGGCACTTAGATTTACATGTTGATGCAATGCACGCCTTTTCGCTGTATTTGACTGGCAGTGGAGGTATTTCGATGCTAGGGGCGAGCCAGGAGACGCCCCGCAAGAAACAGACCGCGGTGACAGAAGTCTGGGAAGGCATTTGCACCGCTCCCCGATGGCAAGCATCGCGTCCAGGCCTGGAAGCAGATCAACGCCACTGCCTTTGAGGGCTTGCTTGGCTGCGACAGCGTCGCAGTGCTAACCCCCGAGCCTTGAACTGTCAGGGAGGGCTTGGGGCGGCTACACTGAGGTCAATTCGGCATTGCAGTAGACTTGTAGCATGGGCCGCCGAGTATACACTTATCTCACGATATCCGAATATATCCGAAGATATCTCAGGATATCTCAAGTATTTCCAAAGATTTCGCTTTGCTTTCCGGCCGCCCCGAATAGGTTAGACTTTTGTACGTGCTTTGGTTTGGAAAGTGGGTAGGGCGCCGTTCAACGAGCCTCTGCACCAACCCTGGGCGTGGCTGGGGAGAGACCCTGCGGACCTTTGGATGTGGATAGCTTGTTTGGCTATAGAACCAAGAGGCCAGCTGGAAGCAACATGGAGTTGCCTTTTTGGAACGCCCCACTCCGCTTAGAAAAAGGGCCGTGGCTTCATGCTTGAAGTGGGCCACGCGCGATGGGGATTGCATATCGTGCTGCGTGGACTGGCCCCACATTGGCTCCTGAGTTGTGTTGTGCACAGTGGCCCCTGGCGTGTCACTGAGGCGTGTGGGGCAGACAGCTGCTACCTGAATGCCGGCAGCTTCTACACAGACCAGGCTAAACGAGTTTTGGGTGGCCCTTGGGTCCCAAATCGATCTACACGAAAATGCGCTTGGGGCACCCCTTGCGCTTCTTCCCTATCGAAAAAGGACACCGCCAGATGCCGGTGTCGATGTTTGCTCGTCCTGGGGGCCAGGTGGCGGATGCTCCAGCCCAGGGGTTCCTGGCGGGTTCAGGGGCTGTTCTGGTGCTGCTGCTGCGACCTGGCTAGGAATAGCTGACGCGAGTGGATGCTCGGGCCATTGACAGGGATCCGGCCCCTCACTTGCGGGAGTTACAGAGTCTACAAACATCTCCCTGCAGAACCCGATTTTTTGTTCCGCCAGGCATGGGGGCCAGACTTGGAGATTCAGTGACATGTGGCATTGCAACTTCCCACATACCGTGCATATGCCCAAGGGCTGATTCGTCTTGAGCCTTGAGGTCCTTCCTTCTCATTTTTGGATCACTCTTCATCTTGGTCCGGCTCTTACGCACGCTGCTGACCAGCAGTGCAAAGACCCTTGCCTGAAGCCTGGGCACTGTCGCGACATGGTGGCTGTGAATTTTACGGGGAACACGCCATGGTCCAGTTAAAGCTCATGTCCATAAGGGTCTTGTAATGAACCATTCAGGTTGTTAGTTGTTTGGATTAAACTGCCATCAAGGAAGTACGAGGCAGCTACTGGCATGGCTCAGTGTTTAGCAACGACATCGTTGCTGAATGGACAGCCTGACAGCTTTTGGTTTCGGGAATGGGTTCGCTGGCCATTCCCTTGTAGTACCTTGGGCCCTCGCAGACCTGCGAACGCGACTGCGCTGCTGTCCCGAGGAAAGCGATGTTAAGGGCGACCAGCGTGAATTCCTATCTTGCCTTGGGACACCTGGCCGCGCAAGGCCTTGCATTGCGCCGCATGTCTTGTTGCTCCGCAATTACTTGTGTTGTTGGCTGAAGATGCGCATGGGGCTGTTTTGGAGTGAGGCGCTGAATGTAGAAACAAGGACTCTGTCTTTCTTCGTCCTGCGCGCATCACAACATATATGCGCAGAGACACACGCAGACACAGAGAGACAGAGATGACATTAACCAGCCTGTAAACGCTTTCGCTGGAAGGCATGCTTGTGGCTTTGGGCATTTTTGATCTGTTTTGGGTAACGTCAGGTATTTGTTTACCGTTTTCGTTTCACAGCCTGCTTTTCAGCAGGCCGATCATGAGACATGTGGCATGCTGAGGCATCGGCGTGGTGCTCACTTTCTTCTTGCAATCCAGCTCTGTACTCACCTCCGTGCTCATTCCTTTGTGCGGCACCGGGGCCGCTCCGCAGAATGAGAGTAGGGAAGGGTTCGGAGGGCCGGCGGTTCTGGCAGGCAGTCCGTGAAGGATGGGCTTGATGCAAGTTCCATGGGAACTGTTGGGTTGTGCGCCCCTTTGGCGCCTGACCCAGCCTCAGGCGCTGCCGCTGGGGAAGATGGCGGCGCTGACGGTCGGGGCCAACCTAGGCATGGGCAATGTGTTTTGTCCGCTTCAAGATGTCCTCCAACCAGGGGCGCGTGTTTAAAACCCGTGCAACTTTACCTCGGGTCGGGTTGCCCTCGCCCCGTTCTTTCCAGGCGTTGCCTTGGCCACAACGCTGGGGGCAGACTCAGATGAAGCCCTGCAAATCGCTCCTTGGGCCAATGGCTGCGACGCGGGTCGGGGTCAGAAGTAGTAGCAGCCCGACACGATACGCGCGAGCCCAAAACTTCTTCCGGCCGGACCCCGAGACAACAGCACGGTTTGCATCACTTCCCCTCTCCCCCTTGTTGGGATTGTGGGAGTGTGGAGATGCGAGGTAGCAAAAGCAGCAGGAGCCCTGCTTGTCAGCAGCCAGTTGGTGCGGTCGGCAGTTGGGCCAACTGTCAGGGACGGACAAATGGGCAGCCCAAAGCAACAAGCAAGTGGTTTCCCAGCACTACCAGCCTGTCATCCTGGCATCCTTCCCTGTCGCTCAGGCTCTGGTTCAGCTCCTCTTCAATGTCCTGGGTCTCGCAGCTCGCTGGCGTTCTCAGTGCAACACAACTTGGGGCCCAGGATGGCCACACTGAACTGATCAGTCTTGAAATCCTCCGCTCAGGCGATTTGGTTCCCGGTGCCAGCCATGTGGAGAATCCTGCTGAGAGCTCCGCAGGGCTTGGGTGCCTTGGCAGACAGACAGCTGAAGGCCTTGACTCCCCATTTTGGGGTGGCGAGCTTGGGTTTATTAGGGCACACAGGCGCTGCATCGCGAGAGCAATTGCAACAGACTCCAGTCTTTCCGTTTTGCAATTGCTGGGGTCATTTGGGGTCACTGCATCGTTTGGGAATGGCAAGCGGCAGTCACGTGCTGCAATTTCAGGCTTCTATGCCGCCTTTTGGCGTGCGTGGCCGCCGCTCTACATAGTCAGGGCCTCAGTGAACTGGAGTGTTTGGGAGTGTGGGATTCACAGCGCTAGGATCTGCCTTTTACAACAGAATTGCACAACCCCATTTTGTGAAAGACTGGGATGGGGTGAGTAGAGTGATTCTTCGCATCACTGGCCCAAAAATGCCTCCTGGCCGCCCCAGGTGGCAAAATTTTAACGTTGTGAGTTGGACGAGATTTCTGTCAACCAGGCTTCTATGAAGAACCTAAGGCCTTCGAGCGCACTCTTCCAAGCAAAGTTTGTGCCGCCAGGTGTTCCGCTTCTCTGGCCCAGCCACATTTTAGAGCATTATGCAAGTAGGGCGTTCCAATGCATTCCCTTGCCTGGCCAAAACGAGTAGAGGAAAGGGATGGAAAGGGGCTGACGCTAGCGATCTCAGTTACCAACTTGAGGCGGAAGAGCAGTGCAACAAGTTTACACGGCATTGGCAGCCAACGGGTCGCAGGGACAAACCCGCCAGCCCTGAGGAAAGCCCATGCACTCAAAGTGGGCCCAGTCGAGGTGTCAGCCTTCCTGCTGCTGCCTGGAGCCCTGCTAGGAATCTGCTTGCTCTTCAACGTGAGCATAGCCGCAGGCCATTTCCTGCGGTCAGAGTCTCACCAATTGATCCCGAACCTTTGTGTAGTCAACATTCCGGCACTATTGCCAGCCCTGCCTGCATTGGAGGCACCTGGTTTTTGGCAAGCTTGTAAGAAAGCACCAAAAAACTGCGAGCTTCAGTGCCACACGGTTGAAGCCCCAACCAACTTGAAACAGGGGCAGGTGTCACATTTCTTCCTTGAATTGCCTATAAAATGTCTGAAGCACCCGTGGGTCACAGCGATGTCTGAGCAATCTAGACGTGTGCTCAATGCTGTTTGGAGGCGCGGTGGTGGCTGTGCTTGCGGCCTTGCTGGTTGTCGCCTTTCTGGTGTGGTGGAACCGTGGCGGCTGCTACAAGGCCTGTCGCCCTCCACCCCCGGCTTGCAGTGGTTGCTGAGGCAGAATAATGAGGTAGGGTGCCACTATCTGGCTGAAAAACACCAGCCGATTATTCAGGATTGCCCCATCAGCAAAGGGGCCCAATACCCTGCCTCATTTGGCAAAAGAGAGGGGGTGACAGCGGCCAGAAATCTTGGCTTCTGTTTGGCCAGGTCGTCAGCCAAGAGCAACGGCAAGAGCGGCGTGTCTTGGGTGCATTGTGTATGTGCGAGCCTTCGAATCAGTTCCGAACCCACAATATTCTGCGGAAAAGACACCGGGAAGCCACAAATTATCTACCCTCCCCTCCTCCGCCCCAGTCTTTCATGTGCGGAGGGTTAGTCAGCGACCCAGCTTCGCATGGCACTGCAATCCGAAGATGTGAGCACAACTGAGATGCCGATCTCCTAGCACAAGCGGGCATCGGCATCTGCAGCACCCTGGGCAAAATTTGCCAGTGGTGCTGTGGGGCGAAGGGCGGTTGTTTGCGACCGGTCTTGTCAGGGAGAGGGAGGACAAGGTGATTTTATCAAGCCAAGAGCCGCCTTGCCTTTACGAGAGCATCCAGCACTCAAACGCCAAGACCTCTGACTAGGAGCTGTTGCTGCTTGGACCTGCTTCGATGACTGTCACCCTGGCTGATGGTATTATGTTTTTCAAACGAGTTATCCTATCATTGCATCGAGTCAAGCAACTGCCTAAACGTTATTTTTTGGTTAGATGTACCCATGACATGGGGGCACGTTCTTTTTATGCTCAAATGATTGCTCACATGATACTGCCGATTACTAAGGCGCAATGCAACACAGTTCTAAACTCTGACGCAGGCCTCCGGGACTGCCCCCAACAAGTACGGCGAGTAAAGTGCAGAACCATTTTCCCGCGCAAAGAAATAAACAAACAAATAAATAAATAAATAAATATATATATATAATATAATTGATTTCGATTCCAGCTCAATCAAGACACAGCAAGACTTTACATTTCCGGATGTGCCCTCCTGCAAGGTTTGACTTTCTGGGGGAAGGGTTCATGTATATATATATATATATATATGGTGTACGTGGACCGATGCCTTAGTTTCTTGTAGGTCGATTATTGTACGATTTTTGAGTTTGATCGTTTTCGAGGCCCAGTTTCATCGGCTTCAATCGAGCCCCGCGACGACCGCTCAGAGGATTCGTACCGCTGGCATTGAATTGACTTGCCAGTTTCCACTGCGAGAAACAAATGGGAGGCCCTTTTCAAGTGAATTTCCTTTGTTTGTTGAGCATTTGTTATGTGGCAGGTGCAGCATCTACAGCTACAGGGGGTCTTTGGACCCGCTGCCGGGACAACGCCTGGCAGCTGAGCCGCCAAGACTCACACGATGCCTCCTGAAGAACAAACGACCCCTTTAGGAGAAACACATCATGTGGGCATCATCATGCTTATTTTTGTTTGAGAGCTCATATCGGCTTGCTGTGCATGAGTTGGGTCCAGAATTAGATAGATTCTTGTGATTTGCATTTGATGGTTGGGGAACATTTCTTGGCAAAAAATGAAGGCTACAAAACGTGTTCCATGAAACACAACTTGGTGAGATCGCGTGAAGATGGGAGGCACACACGTGTGCCGGGCAATCGTGACACTTGCTGACAGGGCAACCTGAAAGTCAGCTTGCCAAGGCCGACTGCTCCAACCCGCAGATTTCGGGATGTTTGGTCATAGTCTTTAGGGTCAACCTTTGAGTGACATGGGGAGCCAAGGGCAAGTCCTACAAGGCTCGGCAGGGGCCTCAGCTCGTATTCGTCCGGTCGGGCAAAGTTGTGTTTGCAACTTTGGCCTTGAATATCGGCATGTGCGCACATTATTAGATGTTGCTTGAAGCTTGGGGGTTTTGAAAACTGAATTGTTCCAAAGATGATAATGCTTTGGTCCTGACTCACGCCCAAAGCACCAAGATAAATGTGAGCCGTGCATCACTGTGCCTTACATCCTCCTTGTTGTTGCACCCCCGGACATTTGATGTCAATGGCTAGGCCAAAAAGCGAGTCTCGAGGTGCTGCCTCTCCTTCCTTTGACCGGTGCTTGGACATCGGTGCTCGGCTTTTTTTCCTCTTTTCTGGAGCTGTCGGCCGGCGCTCGCCTGTTCCTAGTCGGGATCCTCAAAATGAGCATTCCCGGAGGGAGTATGCCCAGCGCCCTGGGTGGATGTGCGCGATGCGCCAATGCGCTAGCCAAATTCTGCGATGCATGCGAGCCATTCCGTTTTCAGGCAACTGCCTGCGCCGCTACCATGCCATCGGTTGAAAGAAGTGCCGCGTTGCAGGTGTCCTGCGGCCTGATTGTCATATGTCACGTGCATGAGAGCGCACAAGCGTATGTCAAAAGCGCCGGAGCCGATCCTTTCCTATTTCCTGGCAGCCGTTCAAACCAAACGACCATTTGACAGCACAACAATTCTGCTTGACCGGCTGGCTTTCATGTGCAGGTCTTTGGGGATCCCTTGTTTCATAGGGAATTTTGACCCCGACCCTCAACATAAGACTTTTGGTTTGCTTGCCAGACTTCCCCAGGTCCGCGCTGGTCTGGGGAGCCTCCGTGCGCGCGTCGCCCCAGGTCTGTGGCCGCGAGCTTGGAAGCGAGCCTCGCTGGCGGCCACTTTTGGGCCTTCGGTTTCCGGGGGTTGCTCGGTGTCGCGTGTTTGGGTATGTCAGATATGTTGCCCATGTTTTTTGGGGAAGTGAGAAGTGAGGGCATCTTTTTTGGATGCGGTCTAGGTATTGGATGTATTTCAGCAGCATTCAGCGTTCGTACTTGTTCCGTGACGTGTTTGGATTCATTCCTCATAAACATTATTTGTGTCTGTTCCGTCCTGTTTATTGCTTGTTGTATTGACCTGGGAAAGAGACAGCAACCGTCCAACCTATGACCTGCGATTAGACATTCAAACAACTGAATTCTAAGAACAAACATGTAGTTCACTGGGCAAGTTCATTACCTCACCACCCTCGTGTTTTGACGTCATGAATTAGTTTGGACGCCCCAAGCTAAGCTGTCCCTGGCGCGACACATGGTACCCAGCCTCCCAGAAACCACACCACGGCCAAGGCTTGAAGCACGAGCTGCAGGATGAGGACGTGATGCAGATCACAAAGCTCACCGCCGCAGGGTCCCAAGAGGCCGTTGCAAGTTGTGTTGGGCGTCCCTGCGTTTAGCACAGCAGGAAGTGAAGCATGTGGTTTGCCTCATTCCAGGCTTTCTTTAGGGGTCAGAGTAATTTGTGTTGTTTTGCAATGTCGTGCACCTCGCCAAGGAAGATGTTGGGGCAAACGGGCAGCAAAGTTGGTTGTTGTGCCCGTCAGCTTCCCACATGCAGACGCTTCTGATCCCCGGTCATTCAGGGCACAGCAAGCCTTGCATCATGCAGCGCGGGCCGCTGAGGCTGAGAAGATCAAGAAAATGCCACGGCCTTGGTCGATCAAAGGCCTGGTTGCAGAACTGGCCCAAGCATGCCGTGCCGTGCCTTCTCTCAAGATCAGTTCACATATTGGGGTGCTGGTGCCGATATCGAGGTGAACAAATGTGGCCAGATGTTCTGTTTTTTGAACTTTTTCTGCACACGAGGCATGGCAAAAAGACCGGCACCACGCTGGCTGGCGGCAACACGGCTGTCGATCCGGCTGGAAAGAAGGCCAGCCCGCGTGCTAGAAGCGGGCTATGAAGGTTTGGAGCACCTTCCTGCGTAGTTTCTGGATGAAACAGGTGGATTTCATCGGGTTTTGGCAGGTTTTCCGTGCCCAACAGCCTGAGAAAGAACTTCCCTTTCCTAGGTTGGCGCTGGCCTTTTGGTCTTTAAATAGTACTGGTAAGTTGCTAGCACTACGCTGAGACTACATGACCGCGGCCAGAGTGGGCCCACATGTTTGCAGTTGTTTTTCTTATATATTTTTTTCCGGGGCAGCCTGAAGCAGAAGGGCACGGGACATCGCTGCTCCCCCTTTGTCCATGCTGGGACCCCTCGGTGGCCGCTGGCGCCAGGACAAGGACAAGAAGGCGCCGCTCAAGACCTGAGGAGTGCCAATTGTCCGCCCGCGGAAGTCCAGGCTCTGTGAAGCATTTCTTGCTGCAAGGGGGTGCCTTCCAAGCCATGCCGCCCCCGAGGCCCTAGCTCGAGGCTTCGACAGCGCTAGATAAGAGTTGCATGAGTTCTGGGTACCCTCCAGGCACTTCGGACTACCCGGACGGGCAAAGAAAACGATTTGCTTCGCACCGGCTTGAATCTTCCAAGCTTTAGGGAGGCAGCCGGTGTCCGGGCGCGGAGCCCAGGCTCGTTCCGCTCCTCTATTGCCTTTGCGCGAATGAGTGGGTCAGGTTATCCTTGGTGGCTTCGGGTTTTGGAGACTTCATCGCGGGTTTTGACCCCTGGCTTTGGACTTGGTGAATGGTTTGGATTAGTTTGGAGGGTTGGTGTCTTGTTGAAACTAAGCTGGATGGCGCAAACCGCAGGAATCATGGCAATCCAAAAGCACTTCATGGGGACCCCTGATTGTTTGGTGGGCTGCTGTCCGCTGAAACCGGCAGAGTGCAGCAGCCATTGTTGAACACAACAGAAGAATTGGCAACATATTTTCACATTGCATATCTTGGCCCGTCTCCGCTTTGCCGGAATTGCCGCAACTCCATTGGGGAACTGGATTCCGCGAGCAGATCATTGGCTTGGGCAGCTCTAGGGGGATAAGTTGGTGCAAAAACATGCAAAGGCACAACAGAATCTCGCGCTTCCAGTCCGAGCCTGGGAAAGCTAAGCCCCGGCGCCCTTGCGCTTGAGCGCTTGAGCGCTTTAGCTCGTGCGGCATGGCGGCGGTTGAGAGAAGGCCTTGCCCGAGGGACACCGGAGGCATGGGGGCTGAGATGGGCCCATGGGAAGCATCACATTCAAAATGGGGGGGTTGATGTCATTCTCCCTGACCTTGCGATTTTGTGGTTTGTTTGAGGGATGCCAAAGTCTTCAACTGATTTATGTTGCAAGTGATCTCGATGTCGATGAGAGATACTGATGTGCATGTGCATTCCCAGGGGATACGGGGAGGCATGAAGGATTCTTCAGACATGACATTCTTCACCGGACATGAGGGAACAGCAAGCTCCAGCAAATCTCCGGCGAGATTAGGAGTCGACTGCAGCCAGATGATTACAAGATATTGCAAGAGAAGATCCATTCCACTAGTATGTGTCTTTGTTCCCCAGAGCCCTGCTCAGGTTGTAGCTGCACTTTCACTGCCGAATGCCACCCAAAAGCAAATGAGAGAAATGTGATGGGCGCAGTCAAACGCTGATTGCTAGTTGCTCCTTGTGTCCCTGTCAAGCGGAACGGCATTGACCTCAAGGCAGTCGCAGGAGGGGCTGACTCCCTTAAAGTCATACGGAAAGCTGGCTGATAGGGGATGGGCAATGGTAGAGCCGTAGAATTTTAGTCAGCAATGCACGGCCAGCTTGCAATGCCCATAGGCTTTTGGTGTCAGATGGACGTGGAGCAAGCCAATGTGACAACTAAACATGGGTTGATGCAGATGTTCCGGTGCAGGGGGAATCAACGTGAATAAGATGTACGGGCATGGATGCCTTGCTCACATGGACCAGGCTCCCTTTTTCCACTAGGCAGATGGACGGGACGCGAAAGGGGAACAATCGGGGGGCCAAAGGCGGGAACCTTCCCAGTCGAAGCCTGTGCCGGCGCTTATCCGGATTGTTGATTGGCTCCAGTGCTACGGGTTTCGGTGTGTCCGCCTTGAGGTGGGGGTGCTCGTCGCTCACTGGGGAAGTGGGGCACTGCAAGTGCCCCCTGAGCTAAGAGGGCAGAATCTAATCACCTTGCGTCATTTTGAATGCCCTTTTGGTCGAGGAGGTGTTTTCCGGGTGGCTCGCTTTGGGTGAGCCCGCTGATGTAGCGAGTTTTGAATGTAGGCTGCAATGGTTTCGAACAATTAGATTACAAGCCGTTCCGAGTCTGCAAAGCTTCTGTACAACAGGGCCACCCGAAAAAGCAATTCCCACTCAATATACTGCCTTGGCTTGCCGGACAGCTGGCTTTTGGTGTAGACTGGCAACCGGACATGTGCCAATGGACATGTGTGTAGGTGATCAGTCAGGTACTCTTGCTGCAAAACTGTTACGCACTGGAAGGATGCCACGAATGATGTGATGCCTGGACGATGTCCGGATGATGCCCCTACCCTTCGATAGAAAGCTTGCCACCAGCACGGTTACGTTGAATTGATCAGCATCATGCCCAACAAGCGTGTGATGAGTTGAACCGGCACCCACGGTTGCCATCCTGGGCCCAACGTAAAATCGGGTTCTAGCGTTGCCTTGTTTTGAATCCACGGCGAATGCCCAGCCAAGAATCAATGGCAGTTTCGACAATGAGCAGTCAATGCATGAAATCTCCAAAAGACATGTCTTCGTCCTCCCAGAACGCAGTGGGGTGTTATGAGGACGGCGGCCATGCATCTCTTCGTGCGGGATGTCGTGGGAGAGACACTGAGTGTCGAGGCGCCGGGGGTGGGGTGAGGGGGCGGGGCTTGGTCATCCTATACATAGTAGGCAGTGCCATTTTTTTTCTCCAGGCTCTTCCTAAAACCTTGTGGCCTTCCTGCTTCGAATCGTTTAGATTGTTTAGCTTGTTTTGCTATTCATTTTACTCGTCGTGTTTTATCGGCCTCGAATGGAGAGCTGGTTCAAGAGGAGGATGAAGATATAGACTCAGAAGCTCGCTTCCTAGAGCCCGCCCTGCCAAGAACAGGACTGGGTTGAAAACCAATCCTTGATTCTCATGGCAGTTGTAGTGGCATTCCACTGACGGAGGGCTCGAAAAACTCCCCCCCCCCCATGCCGCTGTGAGGTGCCGGAGGGCCTTCGCGTCGGGCAGCTCCGGGAGCTGTTGGCAAAGGAGGCACAAGAGCGCCAGATGGTGAGGTCTGACTGCCTTTATTAACAGAAGACCTACAGTACTTTAGTATAGGCCGGGCAGATTTGTTACTGTAAAGGTAATATACTGAATTGGGTGCACAACAGCTGGCATACATGTGGAGGCTTTGTTTGTATTGCTGTGCCGGGAGGTCTCTGGTGATCAGCAGCTCATCTTTGGCGGCAGGCGCTCGCTAGGGATGGGATCTTTCCTCACTGTTCCTTGCTGTTTCTTGCAGTTTCTAAACCCAAAAGCAAAACTGTTCTGAGTGGTTGGGTGTGGGTGTGTGGGTGGTGGTGGGTGGGAGGTAGGGGGTGGGGTTGGGGGTGGTGTGGGTGGGGGGGTGGGTGGTGAGTGGGGTGTGGGTGGGAGGGTGGGTGGTGTGGGTGGTGGGTGGGTGGTGGTGGTGGGTGGGTGTGGGAGGGTGGGTGTGCCTGGGCGGGGGGTTGAAGATCCTTAGTCGAGTGAAGGCATGCGACTTGCAGTGCTTGTGACGCAAACGTGGGCAGCAGCCTGGCCGGTCCCGTTTGTCACGTTCCGACTTCCCGCAGCCATCTGCTCTTCATCACCTCCAACATCCAGGTAGAGCAACATGACAGCCATGGAGGGTGAGTTGGAGCCTCTGGACCCGGCGCCCCCGGCGGTTTCGCAACGGCCCTGGGCCCGTGTGGCCGGCGTGTCCGTGGGTGCCTTGCTCGGCGTTGCCGCGCTGACGGCCGTGGCGGTTTCCAGCACTTGGCGGGCGCAGCCCCGCGAAGCGGACCTGGGAGCTGAAACGGCGCCCCGCAGAGATTAGTGCACAGATGGAGCAAGAAAAATCAATTGGTGGCTCCCAGCCATCCCCTTCCTTGGCTTTTAGTGTGGTAGTTTCCATTTAACCCACTAAAAGTGAAACTTGCGGGGGATCTGAGGGCAGAATTGAGATGTGATCCGACTCACAACCCGAGGTGGAGTTTTTTCGCCGAGGTGGAGATGACCGACGCCCCGCGAAGCACCACCACAAGGAGACATGATACAAAAGATACAAGGGACATGCCGAAGGAAAAGGGGGACTGGGCAGCGCAGAAGGCATTGGCTAGGGCATGGGGCAGGTGGAGGGGTGAGGAGAGGCATTTGCCAGGAGCTTGAGAAAAAGACTTTGTCAGTGCCAAGAATCTGGAGCCCAAACTCTCAAGGGATGGCAAATCCGCAAGAGTGGTGTTAATACGGTGGCATCACAATGGTTCTTCTCGAGTTTGCTCCACCTGAGGAGCAGAGCGTTGACAGCGAAAGCGAAAGCGAAAGCAGCAGTGGAGGAAGCACAAGCTGCTCGGCCGTCACCTGCGCACCATATGGCGAAGCCAAGTCCGGTGACCACACTTGCGATGGCGACCCCACGAGCGATGCTTGCATCAACAAATGCTGCAAGGAGCGATTCGGGCCAGGCTGCTTGATTGATTGCTGTTGCAAAGGCAGAGGACTTTGCATACGCTTGGCCTTACCACTTAGGCAAACCATTCGCTGATCTATGGAACCGACCCCCTGATTTCAATCTGCCCAGCAAGATTTGTTCTCAGGCTTTCTTTGGTGACACCTTGGCGAGTGGCGCAGTTCAGGATTTATCTTGCTGGTGCCCAGTGGGGAATGAGGGAATGAACCTGGGATTCCCTTAAAGGAAACCACTAGATGGATGGTTTTTTTAGGGGTCATGCCATTTCTCATTCCCTGCCTATCGCACCAGCAAGTTATAGTGGTTTGAGGGGTGGGCTTTGTTGCCCACCCCGCCAAACTGAATAGCCATTTTTGAGTGGGGTCGGTTCCTACTACAGCAGGCGCCTGAAGGTATGGCACGTGACACTGATTAGAAGGTTGGGGGGAGGGGAGTTGAAGTCTTCCGAGTCTTCCATATTCTTCCACCTGACAGAAGCTTGCACGGCCTCTCTCATCAACCCAGAGAGCACAACTAAGTCGTTGAAGAACTTGCGGGCTTCCTGCTCCACACTCGGCTGCTTATGAAATGGGGACCAGCCTGGGACAAATTGCAAATATGTTCGGGCCAGTGGTGATTGAGTTTCCCTTTGATGTTTCAAGAGGACATATGGCCCCAACCCAGCCATCCACCATCCATCGCGCATAACTTGGTTTTTCCTAAAAAACTTTCCCTCTTACAGGCGCGCGTGGAGCGTGAAAATACAAATTGAATTTTAATACCTGGTGGACACAAATCCCCATAATGTCCACCAAAGGGTCCCCAATTAAAATGACACCCATATGGCTATGAATTCAAATACGGAACCCCCTTCAAAAGTGGCTGGTGGACACAAATCCCCATAATGTCCACCAAAGGGTCCCCAATTAAAATGACACCCATATGGCTATGAATTCAATTTCGGAACCCCCTTCAAAAGTGGCTGGTGGACACAAATCCCCATAATGTCCACCAAAGGGTCCCCAATTAAAATGACACCCCTATGGCTATGAATTCAAATACGGAACCCCCTTCAAAAGTGGCTGGTGGACACAAATCCCCATAATGTCCACCAAAGGGTCCCCAATTAAAATGACACCCATATGGCTATGAATTCAAATACGGAACCCCCTTCAAAAGTGGCTGGTGGACACAAATCCCCATAATGTCCACCAAAGGGTCCCCAATTAAAATGACACCCATATGGCTATGAATTCAAATTCGGAACCCCCTTCAAAAGTGGCTGGTGGACACAAATCCCCATAATGTCCACCAAAGGGTCCCCAATTAAAATAAACACCCATACACAGCCCCCGGGTCCATCGCGACAGGAGGTGGAGTGCTCGAGCCTGGGGAGCGGTTTCTGCAGCTCCCTGGGCCCCGACTACAGTGAGCGCAAGATCAGCTTTTTCGAGAGGGGCTTGCCGCAGCGCACGGGCAAATGCAGGGGCGAGGCGGATTGCCACACGGCTTGGACGGGGCAGACGGGGAGGGAGAGAGAGAGAGAGAGACACAGTCAGAGACAGAGAGAGAGAGAGAGAGAGAGAGAGACAGACAGAGAGAGAGAGAGAGAGCGAGACACGGAGAGACAGAGAGACTGCTGGCACTCGATAGCGAGGCCGATTGAGAGGCTGAAGTTGTCAGACCATTCTTTGAATGGATTACCGTCGAATTGTTTCGGTGACTTCTCCCTTGCATTTGTACCTGAAGCGTGGTTGCAGTCATTGGTGCCTTGAATGCCGAGAACACCAGCCTTGGCTCGGCACTCTTCTTTTGGCTGCGTTTGTGAGGAAACCACTTAAGAGTCTTGGGTTGATCTGGATTGCCTTTACAGGCCTTGACCTGTATCGGCTGCGCCCCGTAGAAAAGAGCGTTTAGAGTGCTCACCCACAGTGGTGAGCGGAGCCTTACCGAGGGCCTTGCCATCCGACCCATGGTTGGACTACCTGCGGAACCAAGGCCGCAGTGACGCGAGGACACCCGCGGCGACGACGGCTGGACTCGGTCTGCCACGTGGACTGAGCTCAGCGAGCACGGCGAGGCCACCACTTTCCTTTGGACCGACATCAGGATTGACGCCCAATGCGCACCACATGCAGCACACCGCCGACGGCACGAGTGCCCAGAGCCAGAACTTCGGCATGAGTGCCCAGAGCGCGAACTTCGGCTTGAACACACCGAACTTGCTCTATGGCATGAGCGCCCAGAACTTGACCTTTGGCGTGAACGCCCGAACGTGCACACCAGCATGAATGCCCAGAACGTGCCCTTCGGCGCAAACACCCAGAACGTGCCCTTCGGCGCGAACACCCAGAACTTGCCCTTCAGCTTGAACACCCCTTGCCCCAATGCGAATCCTTTGCCCTCCACGAACGTGGACTCCGGCACCCAGATGAACGCAGCTACTTTTGCCTCAGCCATAGGCTCTGGCCTTCCTGGACATCCTCAACGAGTAGTTCATTCTGCAATGGATATGCTGGGCAAACCTTCCCGTCGGGAGATGCCCTTATAGCACAGGCGCTGAGTCAGGCCCTCTCTGGCGAGAAGAGGCCAATTCCTTGCTGGAATGGAGCTACGACCACGCTCCGTTCATGGTTGAAACTCTTGGCGCTGTGGGAGCATGAGAGCCAGATCCCACAGGACAAGAGAGGCATCAAGCTCTTGCAAAGCTTTCCGGAGGGCTCTCAGCCCAGGCGTATCGCCGACACCGTGCCCACGGACATCCTGAGGGCTACTCGGCGATCCTCTCGAAGCTTTTGGAGAAGTACGGCCCCTTCCTGGAAGCCACCGGCCCGCAGGCCGTCGACAAGTTCCTGTTCGAAGGAGAGCGTGGACGAGGTGAATCATTTTCATCCTTCGTGGCAACGAAGGGGCTGGCTCGACAGGAGATGGAATCCCACCTCGGGGAACATGTCAGCGACAGGCTTTGCGGGCGGATCCTCTTGAAGCAGGCCAACCTCAACGAGCTCCAGAGGGAACTCGTTAGCTTGAAAGGACCAATGATGCGGACCTTTGACAAGGTGGCCAACATGCTCAGACCGCTTGACAGGCCAGAAGCGCTTGCTCGACCTGACAATGCTGGTGGAAGACCTCGGGGAGCCTATTTCACAAGCCCTAATGCGGATGACCGCATGGAGGACGATCCGTCCTACTTCGAGGAGGGCGAGAACGAGGACGCGGAGGAAGAATCTCTCGTGGATGACGAGCAGTACTCGGAGACCAAGGCGACCGAGGCGAACTACATCCAAGCCTACCGCTCGGCCTACCGAGATGTGAGAAAGGAGTTGCAACGGCGGAGGATCGAGCGCGGCTACACCAAGCGCGACAACTACAACCAGCCCTTTGGAGGAAAGAGAGCCTTCCAAAAGGGAAAATGGAGCAAGGGCGGCAAGTCCAAATTCAGCCGAAAGGGGAAGTCCGATGACGGAGGCTTCAAGGGCAACATGGGCGACCTGCAGAACAGCACCCGGCGCTTCAACTGCAATGAGATGGGACACTTCGCCAGAGACTGCCCTTTGAAAACCTCATCCACCACAAGCTCATCGAAAGGTTTCTCCGACAAGACCAATCGGACCTTCGTTTTTGGTGCCCACCCTTCCAACGCCCCTGCAGCCTTCATGCACTACAACCAGCCTAGGCGACTTGCAGTATTTGCAGGAGTTCGATGCAGGCCGAGCGAGGCCTTGGTGGACAGACGTTGTGATCGGATCGAACGCGATGAACAAGTTGCATGGCTTTCTTCGGGCCTTGGGATTGCGAGCCATTCCAGCGACTGGTGGGGAACTTCCTGGCTGGAGGCATTGGCGGAGCAGCTGTGGTGCAATCAATGATGGATGTGCCGATTGGCGTTGATGGCCATATCTGCATCCTCAGGTTTACGGTGCTGAAGGACACCGGGGAGTTTGAGACACCTCCCTTGCTGCCAGTGAGTTTCGTGGAGACGATGGACACCATCATCGACTTCCAGAAGAGTGAGTGTGTCATTGGCGGCAAGACCGTTGAGATGATCAGATGCCCACAGGACGCCGCGCCATCGACATTTTGCAGTACCACCCCGACGGTTGGAACCTGCCAACCGAGATGCGAAAGGACCCAGACCTGGACCCTTTTGTGCTTCCATCCCACACTTCATCAGCGACGGTATCTATGGTGTCGGTGTGGCTTCAACGAGCAGACGACAAAGTTTTTGCGCAGGCTTTTTAATTGGTGGGCGCCTGCCCATGATTGTGCCCGCAGATTGCACTGGACTGAGCGAGATCACCATCGATGACGATTGGCAGGCGCAGCACGCCCACAGGGAGCTTCAGCAGCCTTGGCACGGCAGTGTCACCTTTTACCAGAGCGGCATCAGCGCCCACACTTTTTTCGGGGGCGATGCAAGTGCTCCCGATGGTGATGATTTTGACGCTACATGGAGGTGGTGGACCCAGCGCTGACCAAGCAGGAGTGAGGCATCCCAGCCTTGCTCGGAGGATCTTTCACTCCAACCAGCTATCAGCCGAGCTGCGATTTCGGTTTGATGTCACGGTTGGCCTTTGTGATGCTTTGCTCATGCAACACGCAAAGCTTTTGCGCTGGAAGCACAGTGCCAGCGACGATTTTGCCACCAACCGAGCTCTTTTTGCTGCACGAAGTGAATGCGACAAGGTCGAGGTGGAGCCATCACTACTTCGAAAACGAGAACCACGGCAAGATCCCGGACTCCACCTGCTATGAGGCCTACTGGGTATTTCCATGTACTACGAGCAATGCCGCCTGGTCGCTGGAGAGCCAGGAGTGGAGAAGCGCGCCAAGCAATCTCACCAAGGAGATTAAGAAGCTAGTCTACACCAGCACCCAACCTGCTGGGCGAGTTCGGCGTCGACATCATGGAGATCTACAGCCCTCCGAGAGTGACCAAGATGGCAAGGTCACAGAAAGGTCAATGGAGAATCGGAGGCGCGCTGGACCTCACCACCGGCTACAACTTCTGTGATCCCCAGTCGTGCAGATACTCGGAGCCTGCGCTGATCACGCTGTCGCCGCCACGCACAAGCTTCTCCCCTTTGAGACAGTTGAGCGACTACCGCAGAGACCCCGAGACGGTGATCGCTGAACAAGAAGAAGGAGATCTACACTGGGACTTCGCTCTTAGCGTCGCGGAGTACCAAGACGATAACCGTCGCGGGTTCCTATTGAAACACCCGGGGAGCCTCATCCTGGCGGTCGGAGAAAGCTCAAAGACTCAAAGACTGACGCAAAGACCCACCGTGTTTTGCATTCGCCTGGACATGTGCGCCTTTCAGCTGATCACCACAAAGGACCAACGTATGGCCATTGGTCAAGTTGCTGGCCAAACGATGCCCAGGCCATGAAGTGCATCAACCTCTCATTGGAGGACGGGCTGGACCTACTGCGGTCTACACCGACGCCTTTGTCAAGGCCATCCTCAAAGGACCTCGGTGTCTACGCCCAAGTCAGGAACTACCATCACAAGCAATTGCTGCGCTTCCAGCGTGGCGTCAGCAGAAAGCCAACAACGAGGCCAACCGAATGGCTTCGGTTTTGGCCACATTCATCCAGAACGAGGCCGAGTTTCAAGACGAACTGGAGGTCTACATGCTACATTGCTTTCCATCACACAGAATTTTGGGAGGCGCAGATTCATCGTCGCCTACGGTGGCCGCTTCGCGACCTCTTGCTTGACCAGCGCTCGACGACAATGTGGAAACCGACCCTGTGATGCAAAGCGCATCGCGCCAGCTGGTCCCCATCGGCGAGGGCGACAACATTCAGAAGGCCGCCGACAAGATCGACACTTGGCAGAGAGCAGAGACCGCAATGGTCTCTGGCACCAGACCTCCGACGAGAACCGTCTACATCGAAACCTTGGACACCGAGACCGACAAGCCTGCGTGCCCTCAGGCATGCCAACGCCAAAGAAGAGGTGATCAACTGGGCAAAGCGCTACTTCAATTGCCCACTGTGTGAAGCCCGACAGAAGCTCACACTTCCCCGACCAGTGTCCTGGTTATCGACCAGGACACCTCCTTATGATCCATGTGATTGACGCCCGGGCTCCATGGCAGAATGGAAGAACAGAAGAGTCTGTATGCCTGTTCAAGGAGAAGCTGTCCCTCACCTTGCAGGAGATCCAAGCAACCAGCAAGAGCGAGTTCGATCAATGCGTGCGAGGAGTGCAGATCAACCGCAACAGGTACTACAACCGGAGCGGCTTTAGCCCCTACCAACGGGTGTTCGGCTACAACCCGAGATTGCCGGCCCTGGCCTCCGATGACCTGTTGGACTCCGAGCTTGGGAAATCAGAGACGCTGCAAGCCAAGCCTGGATGAGAAACAAGGACGCCGAGATGGTCAAATCAGCTGCGCGAAAAAGGACGAGAGTCGCAGACCCTAAGAAGCTGAACATCGGCGACTGGGCTATGTCTGGCGGGACACGGACAAGTACAACGGCTGGAGTGGACCCGGAATCGCCCCAACGGCAACTCGAGAGGACATTTGGTGAAAGCCTCTCGTGAACAAGTGCGGCCGGCTACTGCGGAAGAGCATCTTGGTGCTGAACTCATCCAGGAGCTCTTGCAGGAGATGATTAAGGACATGCACACACAGGCAAGGTGAAGCACTATCACGACATCGAGCAGGAAGGTGGCCCTGGTGACCAACGGCAGTTTGAGATGCCCATCGAGGCCATTGAGAACATCCCTGCTCCCGGAGAATCGCAACAACCAGCCCAAGAACCTCAAGCGCAACCAGCACCTTTGGATACCAACGTAGACGGAGATGAGTTGGATCCCGCCACCATGGAGGCCGAGAACCAACCTCACGCACCACAACCAACAGCAGAAGACATGGAGGTCGAGGCCGGAGATCGCGAGAGCACCCGACCGCCATCCTCATCACGACCTACCAGCAGACCAACCACGCCAGCCATGAGCAGAAGATCTACCGTGGTGGTAGACGAAGGCAATGACGAAACGACGAGCATTCCCACGCACCTCAACGAGCGCCGCCAGAATCAAGAGCCATGCCTTATCCTTTCGATGGAGCTACTCCAGCGTGGCCTACCCCACCGGCAAGATCATTCTTCATGCAGGCGGTGGACTTCGAGAAAGTTGAGCCCGGCAAGGACGGAGAAGCGTGGTGGACCAACCAGCGGATGGGAACCTCGGGAATCACCCCCAAGGGCAAAGAGACGTTCGACGTCACGGACTCAGAGGCGAGCTACAGCAATCGGGACCGGTGCATGTATCTCGCCAAGGCCAAGACATCCCCTGGTCAGGTCACCTTCAGCTCGGGAACGAACACAAGAAGATCTTCAGAGGCGCCCGAGCGAAGGAACTTCAGCTCTGCTCGACACGAAGTCCATCACCATCGTCTCCAAGAAGGGGTCGGAGGAGTTCCGCAGGAACCGGCCAAGCACGAGGGCCTGGCAGCGAAGTCGCGATGGTGTGCTGTTGGGTGGCAGGACCCTCAGATCCACTAAATCGAGAGATCGGCCCCTGCACCAACAACCTCATCACTGTACCTCTTCTTCCAGCTAGCAGCGGCACGCAAATGGGGAGCCAGAGTGAAGGATGCGAAAGCCGCCTTCTTGCAGTCAATGCCGACCACAAGGAAAAGACGACTGGCGTGGGCGTGCACCATGCCCAAGGACGAAGCCTTCAGCGGCTACAGCGACGACCAGTTGATCATGCTCAACACTGAAGTTACGGGCTGGTCTCAGGACCCGCTTGGTGGAGACGCTCCTTCCTCGAAGTGTTGGTGAAAGAGCTAGGTTACCGCACCAACCCGTACGACCGATGCGTGTTGACTCTGGATGCAGAAGAGCGAGGTGAACAGGTTCCCGCCCGAGGAGCCATCGTGATTGAGGTGGACGACGTCCTAGAGGCCGGCGACGAAGAACATCGACGGCGTAAGGTGCTCGAGGAGAAGTTGCGCTTCGGCAAGGCGGTGGAACTGCAGTCGGAGGACCTCGGCACGGGCTACGCTGGACGCCGCATCAGACAGGAGATCCTGGAAAACAAGACGCTGAAGAAGAACGCCAGCCCGGTTCCGTTGACAGCCAACCAGGAGATGCGGATTGCCCGTCAGGGCAGGCCCACCGCCTCAGCAGCCGCGAGCATCCTGGCCGGATTCTTCCCGAACCCTACAGCCGAGAATGCGTTGGAGGCGAACAGGGTGGTGAACAAGATCAAGGGCCGCAATGTCGTGCTCCGCATTTTCAGCATCCCCGAGGACAAGATCCGCCACATCCTGATCGCGGACAGCTCCTACGACCCGTTAGGCAAGCAGAAGCCGCAGCATGGATGGTTGCAGGGTATCACCGATGATACGTTGAGTCAAGGAGCCTCTGCACCCATCTCCTTGATGTCATGGCGCTCTTGGAGATTGCGGAGAAAAGCAGGATCAACCATGCTGCGCGAAGCAATTTCCATGGCAACTGCACTGGGCGCCATGGAGAAGCAGGTAGCAATGCTGGAATCTGTGAGGTGGTCGAGGTACAGCCCTCAAAAGCACGCTGAACGTGACGATGACGGCGGTCTTCATGGGACCCCCACGGTCATTGCCTCGGAGAACCCAAGGTTCGCTGACCCGAACCTGGTGGCCATCATCGACGCCAAGTTGGTGTACGACGCCACACATTCAGAACAGGCGCAAGGAGAAGACGACCGCAGCGCTCTCGAGATCACAGTGATCAAGGAGAGCCTCGCCAAGATGCAGGGCACAGCTTCAACCCGGCGGACATGCTGACGAAGATGATCGGCGCTCACGAAGAGCCGATGTTTGCTTTGCTGAGGAGCTGCCGGCTTCGAATAGAAGCTGAAGCAGATCACCTCGCGTCAGGTCGTCAGGGCGACCATAGGAAGAAATCCACGGTCAACCCAAAGATAATTTTGGGGGCTGAGGAAACCACTTAAGAGTCTTGGGTTGATCTGGATTGTCTTTACAGGCCTTGAGCTGTATCGGCCGTGCCCCGTAGAAAAGAGCGTTTAGAGTGCTCACCCACATTTGCAACTTGCCACCATTTGCCACCAATTCACCGGACTTGTCAATTTGGAGGGCGCCGCCAGCAAACAGTTGATATTGTTTAACCTGCAGTGCCGAAGCCTGATTGAGCTCCAAATTGGGCATTGGCCATGAGAATGTTTCAGCCACAACCTCCGAACAGTTCAAGTTGAAGCGAGCAGAGCCACAATTGGCAATGGCGACCACCCACAGCTGCTCATTTCCGGGCGCCAGCCCAACCTTGGCATGCCAAACCGCCCCAAGCCGAGGTGAGGATGCCTGCTGCCAGAACCTTTGCAGCGGCTTCACCTGCCCAAGCGGCACCTGCCCTTCGAAGTTTCCACCCACGAAGTGCACCAAGTCCGAGTGCCAGGAGACGGGCACACGGGATGCACGGGATGCACGGGATGCACGGGATGCACGGGCGGGCAACGGGCGGGCGGAGCGCGAGCATTGACAAGTGAGATGTTTCCTAGATGAATCTGTGGGCAAGTTGGATATGAACAGCAGCATCCCATGTCCGAGGTATTTCTATGTTAGTTTGCATCAGTCATGTGCCTGTGAGTGATTCCGTGGCGTTGCCATCCTTGCATGCATTGTTGATGCCTGTGCAGTGCTTGAATGAATGTTATGATTGGTCATAGTTGAATTTTAGTCAATCCACTTTGTCGGATTGCTTGATGCTTCAGCCGGATTGCCAAGCACTGCTGGAGTTGTCCTACCTAAGCTTCAGGCCAAAACAGCTCGCGCCAAAATTGCTGTGTTGTTTTGCCCTCACCGGCCTGTTTGGGGACAATTTGCACATTGCCTGGCGATCCACCCCTGTGCCGTCCACAATCTGCTTGCTTGCTTTCGTTCCCGCCGCGCTCAAGTGGTTTTCAGCATCGTTAAAGTCACTGCAAATGACAGATGCGCTAAGCAAGTTATTATTGTTTGGCCGGGCTTTGGGATCCGTTCGTCCGCGAATGCTCCCCAGAGCAGTTGGACGTCCAGTTGAAATGTGACTTTGGGAAAGCCATGACCCCCGCTTCGCACCACACCGGCCGAACCTCCAAAATCAAGCATCCGTGTGTGTCATGCGCAGTTGCAGTGCTGCGTGCAGCAGCAGAAGTATTGCGGCGGCGGCTTCAACGCTTACACTGCCGCCTGCTACGCCTGCGAGAGCACCGAATCGCCACCTGACCCAAGATGGGCGGAACATTAGAGGTGGAATGCCACAGAAATTGAGTGCGTAGTTCTGCGCCACTACTTCACCGTGGCGTTTTTCTCATGGCAATAAATTATGCGAAAAGGGCAACTATGATGCCCACCAGTGAATTAGAGACACAGTTATTCGATGCTGAGCTCATGTAGACGTAACCAGCTGACAATGGTAACGGCGGAAGATGGGGAATGTCACGTTAAAAAACCCAAGGCCAGTTCCTTCAATGCTTGCCTTTGGGGCTGGCAGCTTTCATTCCGCTTGCCGCCAGCCCAATCAGCGTGGCGGGATTGCAAAATTCAATAGGACGGCTGGACTTGGCATTTTTCCCTTCAGCATGCAGGGTTCTGGCTGAGCTGGTTGCGAACAGGGTTGATCCACATCACGCGCCTGGATTGGGTGGTGACAAACGCCCCAAAAAGCGGCCGAACAACCTGCGCAAGCCGGAACGAACTTGACCTCGCACAGAACTTGGAGCTGAGCAGCGAGTCCAGCTTCACCCAAGGTACTGTGAGGCCAAGCTCGGGGTGACACGCAGCGCTGTGAGCACCAAGGAGTGGAACAAGAGCCTCAGGAAGGAAAGCGCTGTGGGGGAGAGCGGCTGGGGGGCTGGGAAGCCTTTTTGATTCTTTCTGTTGCTGTATTTTCTATTTATTATTATTTATTTTTTTGGGGGCGGGGAGTTTTGGTTTTGTGTCAGCCTCATGCTTATGTGAGGCGCCAGGGCGGTTCCTCGAGTCAATGAGTCAAGCTCTGGAATAAAGGTCGTCTTTTACCGTTGGGTGAGCAAAGGTACTTGTCCTGTGGTGGAACTTGGGCCAAATCGCTCCTTGCAGCATAAGAAGCGGACCAAAACCATCCAAAACAAATGGCATGAGCCTTGACCTTGTGCAAGGAAAGGCCAGTCTCACAAGGGTGAACTTTTAGGAATGGTCTGTTGAAAGGCGAGGAAACATGAAAGGGCTGAGGCCTTGGCCCATCCACATCGCTTCCGGGACAGACGTCTTCTCCCCACCTTCTCGACTTGACTCGACCGGCTACTCCTCGGGCCGTGCCAAGGAAGGCCTTTGCGGCGGTGGAGGCTGGGACCGTGGAGCCCGGCTGCGAGATTTCAAAGCATTACGTGCCCACGCGCCTTGGACGAACCGACGCTTCAGCAGCGTCGTTCTGGGCCGATTTGCCCAGAAAGATGGAAAGAGAGAGGGACAAAGAGGGTAGGATAAAGCAAAGAAGGCAAGCAGGAAGTCAGGAAGGCAGGCAGGAAGGAAAGGAAGAACTCCAAAAACTTAAACATATAAATGAATAAATACAGAGATAAACAAACACAGAAGAAAATTAAAAGTCATAGGCATGAATTCCTACATGCAGCATTTTGGTTTCGCCTCGCCATTTGCGCAGTGCCCAGCTGGGCCGCGTGACCCTGCCACGTTCTGCATGACGCCAACCTCGAAGGCCACACATACGCAGAGGTGCTGCGTACCTCTCGTAATAAACAGCTGAAACTGCCAAGTACACCTAAAAACTTCGGGCAGCCCACATGCCACTACGGCCTCTGCACAAGCTTGACTCAGCATCACACACCAGAACACACAGTCGTGATGGCACCTGCAAAGCCATTTGTTGTCGATGCAAGACGAAGCTGGCAACGCCATCCAGCATGAAAGGCATGTGCAGAAAAGATGCGGACATGAAATAACCACTTGGCACATCAAGCCCAGGGGGGCTTTGCACGACCATGCCGGATGCTGGGCGTCCGACACTGCCCAAAATGCATAAATGCTGCAGACACGTGCATGCGCATGTCGTAGGGGAGACTCACATGACACAGACTTGCTGATTTTCAGCACTCGCGAGTCATTGTTCCCTAACTTGAATGCCGATAAACGAACACTTGCGGCATATGCACAGTATAAGGTTGCACCGGCAAGCGCGATAAGCGAGGGCGTAGCCACAAAGAACATTTCCAAACAGACCACCATGTTTGCACATCTCGCACCTAAAATTGCTAAATAGCACCAGGGCAAGCATCGTCCCAAAACCTGCAGCTCTGCGGGAGCACCAGGGCAAATTGCGTGACAACCACTCATAGGTGAGTGTGAGTCCTGACGGCCGTAGATCTAATTACTATGGATGCAACCCACCATATGTTCACACTGTCCGTGGACTACGCTTGTGAGATGACCATGTTGGCCATGTAGGTCCCATTCCTGTTGATCCAGGCATCCAACGACGTTGCATGCCAAAGCACTACCGCTGGAAGGGCTTGGGCCACAGTGCCATGTCAAACGCCAAGTAAATCATGCAATGACATCATGGACGCATAGCGCAGAAAGCGGTGAAGAGATCTAAAGAGAACAAGTTACATAACAATACATGAAATGACACAGTGAGTTAACATTCCACAATGAAATGCACACACACACACGGAACAAAGCAACGAAAGGCAGACAGAAAGAAACGGCAAGTCACGTAATAATTGAAAGAACAACACAACAAGAGCATACTGACTCAACAAAAGTAAGAAGACATAGTCACAGACAGACATAACAAATAGATAACGCAATGAATAAAGGCATTTTACAATGCAAACATGATGGAAGGAAGGACAACCGCCACGAGAAAGAAAACCATAGTGAAAAGGCATGTGATGATTCACATGTTGTAGTGAAAGGAACAAATACAGAAATACAGAATCAGAAAAGACCGGACATAGGTAAAGACATGCAGGCGGAAACGACAGAATGAACTAACTTATTTACGTGAAGACATGTAAGTACATGAACGGCAGACAGACAGAAAGAAGGAACGAACGCCAAACTATCAAACAATAAAGCACAATGAATAAAGACACACATAAAGAGATGGAACATGAGAATAAAGAGCAGAGATGGAAGGAACAATCAACCCTTTTCCATCTCATTGAATTTCCAACCGTTCCTTGCATTTCGCCCCACCTGGCTCTCAGATATGAAGGCAGTGCTCGGACCGGTCTCTGCCCGGAAGGCAGCTCAGGACATTGCAGCCCAGCCGAATATGAACCATTGTATTGTCGCGGCTTGGGTTGGCTTAGGAAGGACACAAGAATCGCATGTTGTTTTAAGCGATTGACAATGCCAGGCGGGGAAGGGTTCCAGGAGATGGCCTGCGAGAAATCGATGAGAACATGCGATGGCTGTGGGTTAAAATGGGTACCCAAAAACCCTGGTACATGGAAACAATGACTAAAACCTGTGGTCCCCTGGTGGTTTAATGTTGACCCATACCCAGATGGAGCATGAATCATCCAAGTTGATTCATTGCAGCCTTTGACAACGAAGCATGTGGGCTCCTCGAATCTTCAGGTGCCAATCCGAGCTCAAGTATACCCTCACCTCGCAGTTCTCACTGCACAAGACCTCAGAGGCCGTGTCCGTGAACACGGTGGCGGTGATTCCGGGTGGCTTCGCAGCCCTGAGTGGAGGCGACGACCAGCAGGCGCATCCATCGTTGGTATCTTGGGTGCTTGCTTTTTGAGGGTACCGCTCTTGGGCTGGTTTTAAAAGGAGCCGAGGGGAAAACCTCCTTTCTGTGGGCCCCCTGATTTAACACGAGCCCACTCCCAGCCTCGTTTTTGTTGAAGGCCCCTTTTGGGGCGCGACGTGCGGCCGCAGCGCCGCCTTGGCAGAGGAAGTGGCACCATGGTCTCTGCCTTTTCACCCCAAAAAGACCGGGTGTTACACTAACACCAACCACCACAAGACTCATGTTTCTCGCTTATCCATCAAGCGACGTGACGCAGAGCATGCGGGAATCGAATAGTGGGATTGTGAGATCGGGATTTTCGGTTCCTAGGGGGGTCTCTAGAGGTAGGGGGTTTGTCAGGAGGGGGGGGTTCCGGGGCGGGTCGCAGGGGGGGGATTGGGCGGGTCGGGGGGCCTGGCTGGGCCACTACTCAGTCCCCATGCGGATTTCGGCAGGTGTATGAGTGGACGATCGCGAACGGCGGGCCGCTCCACAACTTCTCGGGTGCGGCCTCGCCGGTGTTGCAGGTGCCGGGGATGGTTCAACGGTCAAGGTCAATTCCGTGCTTCTGGGGTACGCGCCCCATATGATCTATATATTTATATGTGTATATTTGAAGACTCCGTTTGTATAGGTCGCTAAGGGTCACTTTTGTTTCCCTCGACTTGGGTTTAGTTTAAAGTAAGATCCAATGGCCAAGTTGGCCGAACGGCTGGAGGAATTGATCATTCCAAGAATGCCATGTGTAGAGGAAGCTCCGTATGGGAAGAACACTTGGGCGAAAGCCAGCCGTGGCTTAAGCCGCCAGGCCTTTGCAAAGGTCTAAAGGAGTCCCACAGCCGAGGCCGTTTTGGAGATGCGCGTGCCAGGTTGCAAGTTGGTGACTGTCATTTGTCATTTGTTGCATGTTGCATGTGGCGCAGAAACGTGTGCAGGCGCCTCATCTTGCGCAAATGGCATTGACTGGTTTTCTCCATGGTTGGTGGAGGGCCCCTGATTGAAGTCACGAGGGCTGAGACTTTGCCAATGCCTGCAGGTCGCTGCCCTGAATGATGCCACCTACTTCTGTGCGGCCGCTGGGTGTGGGCAGAGGGCGAGTAGCTTGAGCATTGGAATTGTATCAACTCATCTTGGCATGATTGAATGACAATTGCTTTATATTTTTCTTTTGCCCGTCTTGCCCCCTTCTAATGAATGGCCCGGTCTCATGCAGGAAGGTCTCAGCATGCAATGCCCCGAGAATTTGGAGGCGCGAGGTAGTAGTAGCAGGAAGGGAGGACTTGCCAGTTCCCATCAGCTCCCTCTGCTTTTTGTCAGATGCCCCCTTGTTCCGATCTTTTGGTGGGGGTCTTCCCTTTTTTTGGCGCACGCTGCGCATGGTACCGCAAGAATGCGAGACGGCGGTCGCCCATCCTCTCATAAAGTGGATGTCAAAACTGTTCTGGGCTGCCATTTGGTCAGATGAGGGCTTGTCACATATACAAATCTAGACAAACAAACACAAAGGCGCAGACGCAGACACACACCCACTTAAACTCCCAAGCGCGTGATTTGATCAATATTCCAGTTCAACTCGTGTCGTATGATCAACCAGAGTGTAACTCGAGAAACACACTGCTCGAGGGTCTCCACCAGGGCAAAGAAAAGGAGTTTCGGCCTATTGCGTGCTCACTAACTAATCTTTTGAAGAGAGAAGACCGGGCGGCCCCAGAGGACAAGAAACAAAGCAAAACAAGCCAAAACAAAGCAATCCGGCCCCAAGTTGGGTCTCCGCCAACAAAACCCTCAACCAAGAAACAAGAAACACAAGGGAGCCAAGTCTTTTCGGGGTCGAGAAACAGGAAGTAAAGACGAAGAAGACAAGGCAGGGAGCCAGAAGTGCAAGAAGGCATCCCGCAAAGGGGCCAAAACCAACGACGCGAAGAGGAGAAGACGATGAAGACGAAGACAGGATCAACAAAAAGAACACGAACAAGTGGGTGGGCGGCGGACCCCACGGACCCGCTTGTAAACACGGCACGGCACGGCACGACACGGCGCGTGGTTTGCGTGTTTGTGCTTGTGTGTTTGTGTGTTGGATCGTCGCTCTAGAACTGTAGGGCCTTAGGTAGGAGTTGTTATACGAAACAGGCCTTTATTACCAACATCACCTGGCGATGCTTGACGGATTTTCGCATGCCTTGGAACTCCCGGCCCCGGGTTGGCCAAATTGATGGCTCAGCTAAAGAGCTGACCTTTGACATTGTTGAAGTGACATGGAAAGAGGCACATTTTGAGCAAGGCTTCTTCAGGTAGGAAACACAGATTGGTTGGGAACACCTCGTCCGTGTCCAGCAGCCTGAGTCATTCAGGCCAGCCACACCGAAGCCATCGTATGGCTGTTGCAGCCTCGCTATGGCGAAGAAATTCAGGGTCAGTCGGAGCTGCCGATGGACACGAGGCAGGTGGTAGCAGTAGCAGCCCCCCGCAAACCAGTTCCGAAGCACACGGCTTATTCTGGGTGGTGCAGCTTGGTGCAGCCATTAGAATTTGTGAGGGGAGGCAGGGGGGGGGGGATCCGCTTAAAAAGCACCATGCGATGCAGGGACCATCGCTAAGCCAGTTGCGTCCTGCCGCTTGACTTTTCTTTTTCTCGACAGGGAGGGTGCTCCACCCGTTGGAAACACGGGCTGCATCGGCTTGAATACATGGGAGACGGTGCTGGTGGGCCAGAACAACAGCTTTGCAGTGCCGCCCGGCATGGAAGCGTCAGTCAGGCCTGCCTTTCTTGGCCCAGTCCACTGCCCCCTGTCCCCCTTTTTTGCTTTGTCTTTGTGGAAGGGTTCCAATTCACATAAACCCTCCCCGTGGCTGGGCAAGCAGATGTTCCCTGAATGCAGCTGGGATTGCCAAAGGCAGTCCGTCGTTTGCAGCCCACTGCGGCCCAGTGCAAATGTGAGCATGTTCGGAACACTGTCTGGGTGAGAATGTATAAGTTTCCCTGCCCCCTTTGAACTTGCTGTTGCCGAGCTTTGCAGCAAGATCAGGACCGATTTTCTAGCCGAGTTGGGTTCAATCAAGTTCAATTTCACATGTTGCGTTTTTCTATGGAAGGGGACGATTGGCTTTTGTTCTGCTCGTTCGGGTCTGTAGCTTACGGGAGGATGTTTCATCTTTTCGTCCAGGTGTGCGGTCCTTCAAGCGCGTCCGAGGATGTGGCATTGGAAGGCGAACCAGGCCCAGACCATGCCAGTGGATCCCAAACTGCCTCTGACTTGGCAGAGCCTTGGTTGTTTTTGCGGAGCCAAAGAACCAACTTGCAGTGTCGGTTTGGTAGAAGGGCTCAAGACATAGGATGTTATCCCAACCGCCGCGATGCCCACACTGCAAGAGTTTTGCTTGTTTGCTTTGCCCTTCATGCAGTCAGCACTTGCAAAGCTGTAGGCTTGAGTCACTGTTCAGGGATGAGTGTCGGAATTTGGAAGGCTTTGGCAGCCTGGAGGGTTGTCGGTTTCGGGTTTTGGAGTGCACCCCCCCCCATTTGTTTGCACGGGAGAAGGACGTGTTGGGTCCCCGGTTCCAAGTTTGGGATGTCCAGTCTGATGCTTCGTTCACTTCTGGTGGGGGGATTTTTTTTGGTAAAGGATGTAAACAACTCGGACCCGGTTTTAGATGGGTTGTCTAGGGTCAAGAGAGAGTGAGAAGAAAGGAGGATAGGTCTAGTTGAGAAAGTACTCCCCCTTCTTTGCGGGCCCAACCAAAGTTAACGGACGCTTGTTTTTAAGTAAAGAAGTTGAAAAGGGAATCGCAACCTGTTCTTGTTTCCCAAAAAATATTGCTTGCTGACTGTGGGTCTGCTAGTAAGACTGAAAGAGAGGCCGGTTGCGAGTTTAGTAGGTTTCCAATTGGGCTATTCCAAATTAGCATCTCCCCCAGCCACAGTGTTTTCAAACAACAGTTCGTATTATTAGGGGGACCGTGATTCGGGAAGACAGATCCTAGACAACGGATCTCTTGCCCAACTTTTTGGATATCTTGGTTCAATGCTTGTTCATCCCACGTAGCGAGCGCACAGACTGAAAAAGAACCGGTGCTCGGCTTTTGGATTAGCTTTGGTCGTTTCAGTTTGGCCGTTCGAGCTCATTTGGGGCGTTGGAGCGGCCGAGGATCTCGGCTGACGCAGGGTACAACGTATGGCCGGCTTGGGACGTCAACGGGGACCTCCAAGCCGCGCCCCTTGCCCGAGGCATGCCGACGGGTGCTTCGGAAGTCTCATTTGCGCGGCCCAGTCTTTTTTGTTGCCTTGGAAGCAGGTGCCCTATGGCCATGATCCCATGATCTGGGTGCGAATCTCTTTTTGAAGGAACCCTTTTGGGTCTGAGATCCAGCCCAAGGGACATCCACTTAGGATCACTTAGGTCAAGTTGGGAGGCCAAAGGGCTGATTTCCCAGCACCCGAGGTTCGTGGACTGGCGCGTCCACCTCTTCGGGCTCGACGACGGGTACACCCGCCGCCTTCAGGTGGGCAAATGATGTCGGGCCCTTCTGGACATCACTCCGGACGGAAAACATGGGGATACTTTGAGCACATCTTTTTGTGGGATCTCAGGGTTGTGTGCCACTAGAGAGCATGGGGGCTTGAACGATGGAGGGTGTCCAACCTGCGAGAAGTCTTGCTGAAACATGCTTTGCCGCGAGGTCGGTTTTGGATCTTTCAGATTGACAGATTCAAAGTGATACTGCTTCAGATAGCCAGGGCCAACGTTGTTTGACGCGAGGCTTCTTTCCGCAGTGGTTATGAAGATTGCGAGTTTCGCTTGTCACTGGAGCCTGGGAGGAGAACAACACCGTCAAGCCCGCTCGGCGGCTTAAGCGGGCGGGGCCAGCATCACCCTTCCTGAATTGGTTCACCAATCTCAGGCAGGCGGAAGTGTATCGCATCCTGGGGGGGGTGAAGACAAGGCAATGGTATTGCACAGGCAGGCCCGACGCGAATTAATTCTAGCGAGATCCATTGCCCCCAAAAAAGGGTTGCAGACACGTTCTGCCGCAACCCATCCAACAAGGAGTGAATGCTTGACAATTCGAGCACGGCCATGCGGTGATGGCACCTAGAAGATTCAGCACAGCTTGAGTGTAGGATGCATTTGGCAGGTGTGCCACGAATAGATTTCGATTGCAGGCTACATCATGCCTTTAAAGAGTCCGAAATCACGCTACAAGCATGCAATATGTCAAACGTGACGCATTCCGCTGCACTCTTCCGAAGGCTTCACTCACAAGCAAATGCTCGCGGGTCACCTTGTGGAACTAATGGGGCTAGGCTCTGCTGTAACATCGGCACGTGGGAAGGCAGGCTGAGTGAACTTTTTCAGCGCAAGGACTGCACAGCACTCTTGCGAATCTGTCCCCGTGACATGGTACGGTAAGTTTTGTGCTTGGTTTGATTTGGGGTTGGCGTACTGTTTGGCCAGGGTGGGTTTTGTGTGGGCTTATGTAGGTTGAGATTGTTTAAGGGTCAGTTAGGGGACTTTTGTGGCGTGGCTTCACTCAGGCTTTTCTGGGGTGGTTCGTTTCGGCTGCGCAAGGGTTTGGTTTGGGTTTGGGATTCGTTTGGAGTAGGCTTGCTTGCTTGCTTGCCTGCCTGCCTGCCTGCCTGCCTGCCTGCCTGCCTGCTTTCTTGCTTTTTTAATCGGGGTGGGGTGGAACGAATTCCAAATCCAGCTGAAATACATACCAAACGGTATAGCACCCCTGCCAAAGGTTCAAAGGTGATCCTCGATTCCTCATCCCACTGACGCCAGGTGGGGCGATGTTCCACGTTGGCTGCTTGCCTTGGAGAGTTGGGTTTGGGAGGCATTGGCGCGGCGTCATTTGCTCTGTGAGTTGTTATGTGAGACACGAATGATCACATGTGGGGTCCTTCCCGGCATGTGGTCATTTCTGATTAGAGGGGTCGAGAGCCTGCAGATTTGTTCGGGGCGAAGGGCCAATCAGCCAAGAAGAAAACTACATTCGAGCGGTAATGCCTTAGGCATGAGTTCGCGGGAGCCAGTGCGGTTCGCCTGACGTTGGGCTCTGGCGTAAGCGCCTTTGAGACTTGTTAAAGAAAGTGTTCTGTTTCGGCCCTAAGCCACCAGCAGAGGCAGCAAATAGTTGTTTCTCTGGGCCTCACAGGGTCTTGGCCACTTCCTGAGTTTGGGGCAGCCTTGGGGCGGGTCCCAAGAGGAAGGTATTCTTGGCCAACCACAGCCATTTCAACTCCGATGGCACGTGAGTTTTTAAAGGTTCTTTTCCTTAGCTTCTGGTTTGTGCGACTGTGAGCGTTAGCCAACCCGCACGGAGCTTCAATGCTTAGGGTTTCCACTGGTCTCAGGTACTACGAGCCCGAGGGCTGGGGCAAGGTGCTGTCCCTCGTGGAGGTGCCCTCGAATCTCTATGTTGCCACAGGCTACGAGGATGGCAGCATCCGAGTTTGGCCGCTCGGTCCAGCTGGATGCCATTTGGCAAAGGCATGCCCGTCCAAATGCAGCTTTCCATCCGTCGCTGGCCGTTTTTTGTCAGCTGCCCAGTGGGGCTGGAGGCATGCAGAGGTGTGATGGTTTCTTGACTGCTTAACTTGTCCCACACGCAGGTCTGCCATTGTTGGTGTGCGGCTACGTTTGCCAATGCTTGTTCCTGCTCCTTGCTGGCTGGGGCAGCTTTACAGAGCCAGTGCAAGCGCGTGGTTTTCTGTGCCAGCAGCGTTCAAGGTACATCTACAACCAGATCATCAAAGCCGTTATTCCAAAGGCTCACATCGGCGGAGTCAACGCCATGATGGCTGCTCCGGCCGGGGACATCATCTACTCCGGCGGTGATGATGGTTGGATTCGTTGGTGGCAGGCTGGGGCTGCGAGTGCAATTTAGATAGGCCCTGGGCTTTGTGATGGAGCCTGCCTTGGAACAGTCGAACACTTATTTTTTCGCAAGGGGTGGCTCGCAGCCTCGGACTTTGGCAGCTTGGCTGGTTGGTTGGTTGGTTGGTTGGCTTGTGACTGGCTGGCTGGCAGGCTGGCTGGCTGGTTGGTTGGTTGTATGGCTTACTTTGGCTGGTTAAGTTGGTTCGCTACTGCTGTGGAAGGGAAGGCTGGCTACTTTGCATCACTTGCCTCGCCTTTTGGGGCCTTCTGCTCCCTGCACTAAACTGGCGCGTAGTGATTCCATTGCCGTCCTTGTTTGTGATGTTCTATTGGGGTGGCTGTGCCGCCCCATATTTTTTGAGAGCCCTTGTTCGTGTTTGCAAGAAGCCCCAATCGAACACACCAATAAGTACCTCTCCAGCAAGTGGGGCCTTCGGGATGTGGTTGGGAGCTGCGTTGAGGACTGATTTTTCCTTTCAATTCTTCCAGTGAAAAAGGGGGGAACTTTGCATCAACGTCCCGGCAGGCAGCCGATGGCAAGCCCCTGGGCCAGATCTACGTGGGGCACGCCGGCCGCATCACAAGCCTGGCTATGGTGCCAGGAGGTCGGGCGATGGGGATGGCCATTGGGGCTGGGGCTGGAGAGGGGTGAATGCTGAGTGCCTTGTTATTGACCGTGGCGTGAGTGGGCGCATGCAAACCCTGCGCAGCAACTTGCGGCGCGCACGCGGCCGCCTTTCTCGACATTCTCTGTGCAGTTGGGTGAAAGCAGATGGTGCCAGTGTAGGTTCTGCATGGTGCCACCATGGCATAAAGACGACTTGCGCCATCAACTTCCATGTTGCAAAGAACCGGCAGGGGGCTCCTTCTACTCGGGCCACTCGGAGGGCGAGATCTACTTCTGGGCCACGGGCTACAAGGATCCGCTTTGCGTGCTGGATCCCGAAGGCCCCTGGGAGTGGGGCTTGGGGAGCGTCTTGGGGCCCTGGGGGCACTTTGCGTGCAGCCCTGGGACCTCCAGAGCTTGGGACTCGGCTTTCTGGGTCTTCAGAAAGGGCTGCGTGGCTACATGCGAGGCTTGGTTTTGGTCCCATTCTGATTTTCCAGGCATGTGAGGCAGTTATGTGCATGTGGGGGTGACGCATGCGGAGGCTGCGTGGAAGTATGATCACTTGTACCCAGTTGGCCTTGCCAGTTTTGCTTGCTTGAGGTCCAATTTTGCTTGAATCTTCTTGTGCAGGTGGCCAGGTGAACTCGATTGCCGTGAATCCTGCAGTCGTGGGCCAGATTGTTGTCGCTTTGTCGAATGGCCACGCGCGTGTCTATACCCAGCGCTAAACCCGCTAAACCCAGCTGGACCGACTTCTCTCAAGAGGAGACCAATCAAGCAACGGATTGGCAGTCAGGATATTTGAAGAAAGTTGGGGGAAGATCGGAGCCGGCAGCTTGGGCGCAAAGCCGCTTATTTGCACCTGGCAGCCAGCAGCTGTCTCTCGACCCATAGGACCCCAATGCAGGGCCTGGTTGGTGTCGCCCCTTCAGCGACCTCTGGTTGTGTGGGCCAGGGTGCAGGGTGCTAGCCTTTTGGGTGCTACATAGTCCATTTATATTTTTTCAAGACCCTGAAAATGCAAATAAGATCTTATAAGGGTTACTCCAAGGCGCACGTCTCCACCATATGGGGCCCAAAAGGCAGAAATATCATTGTGCCCTGTCCCAAACAACTGCGAATAGGCAAAAGCTGGCCCCAAGTGTTGACCTTTGACCATGGTCATCCCAAAGTGGATCCTCACCTGCCCTTGGCTCGGCTGCGCTCGCAGGCTCATAGGTTGCCTATTTGACGGTTCATTGATGTCTTCGAACATGTTCAGAACGAATCCGGGCTCTGGATGCAATACAGGTGAGAAGATCCCTTGCTGGCTCTTTGCATTTGCCGCCTGCACTGACTACTGACTGGAAATGACGCGCTTGCCTGTTGTGCGTTTGAAGCCAAATGCACTCCCGCTCATAGTCTAGCACTTGAGCGGGGCCGCATTCAGGTTGTGGCTTTGTTTTGGGGGTGGAGGTGCTTTGGCACGCAGGTCCCTCTCTTCGGAGGAGCTCCTGGCGGAGTGTGGCCTGTCAGAGGCGGACCCGTGTTGTGGTTCCGGGTTGCTGTGACGGCGTGCCGCTGCCCTTGTTTGGTCCGTGTTTTGGAACTCCCTTTGTTGGCTGGTCGCGCCTGCTGGAAGTTTTGAAGGCAGGGCTTGCCCAAGTGTTCCTTTTGGCCCTTGGCAATGGGGGGGGGGCCTGAAGAAGTCTGCCACCCTCCAAGCTGTTCAGAAGATATGGGTTCTCTCGGGATCAGCCGAATTCAGGATTCGATGCAAAGGCTGCATACTTTTTGTTGCACACTTTGCCCGCTGCTGCAATAGTCACCCTGAGCCATTTCCGAGTTCCTTCATGTTTGCCTGCACTGTGAGCATGTTCCCCTTTTAAGCACATTGCCAGATGGCACTTGCACTTGCACCCGAATTTGCCCAGCCCGAGATGTGCGCCAGGAGTCCACTCTCTTTGTGACCGCTGGCTTGGAGGGAGGCGGCAAGAAGCGTAAGAAGAAGACATACACCAAGCCAAAGAGACCCTGATGCATTGGTGTTTTGCTTAGCAGGTGGTGGGCGTGTGAAGTTTTAAAAGGCAATGGCACAGGCAGACATGATCGCATGGCTGGATTTCGGACGTTTGTCGGGATCGGTTGGATGCAGGCAGGACGTGTCTTGCCGCGCGTAGTCGTGAGCCTCAACCCTTGAGGAAGATCAAGCACAAGAGGAAGAAGGTGAAGCTTTCAGTGCTGCACCTTGGACACAACGAGTCAAACAGGTCCAATGGTCCCCAGCAAACTGAATCCCAGATTGATGAGCAGCCTTCCTCCCTGAGCGCAGGCTCCACACTTCATTCACTGCATGCAAACGACCTTCCTGCCAGGAAGTGTGCAGGACCAAAAAGCCCCTGTCAGGCGAGGCACTGCCATGTTCGCCATGTTCTGACTTTGGCGACTTCGGCTTGGGGCCCACCAAGAGCTGAAGTCATTCGACTAAGGAAGTTTTACAAGGTTGACTCCAATGACAAGGTCACGCGGCTGCGGCGAGAGTGCCCTTCAGAAACATGTGGAGCAGGCCACTCCCGCGGGCTTCGCGTCGTCGTCGTTGTTGTCGTGGTTGTGGTTGTGGTTGTGGTTGTGGTTGTGGTTGTGGTTGTGGTTGTGGTTGTGGTTGTGGTTGTGGTTGTGGTTGTGGTTGTGGTTGTGGTTGTGGTTGTTGTTGTTGTTGTTGTTGTTGTTGTTGTTGTTGTTGTTGTTGTTGTTGCTGCTGCTGCTTGTTGTTGTTGTTGTTGTTGTTGTTGTTGTTGTTGTTGTTGTTGTTGTTGTTGTTGTTGTTGTTGTTGTTGTTGTTGTTGTTGTTGTTGTTGTTTCATGGAATGTTAAAGTACCCCCTGGCTGACTACCCCCCCCCCCCCAAGTTAGTTTGACTGGGGCTAAAATAAGACCCAACTCGGACCCTGCCATGTAGACCCTTTTCATTAAGTCAAGCGCAGTTGCAACTTTTTCCTGGTGGCGCTTCCTGGTGGCGCTCATTGCATTCACTCAGCCATGTGATCGAGATACTCCTGCAATCTGGCATCGTCTGGCCTGAGTTGGCACGATGGACGGAATGACTGATGTGAACAATTCTGGGCTTTGAACCATTGAGTACTCGCGTGCAACCCAGGCACATTCTGTGTTGATCCCCGGGGTTGAGTTTGTTCCACCGATTGTAAGCAAAGCGAAGAACCTCTCTCAGAGCATCAATCTTCTGCGGACACCTTCTCGTTGGCCACTGACGCTGGCAACTGTCACGCTCCAGCGGGTTGCCTAAGGTAGACAGCGCGAATGACTCATGAGTCGAACTTTTTCTAGGCAAACACACAAGGACCGACAAACACACCTCTACATTTGTTGAATCCTCGTTGAACCCGAGCATTACAAACAAAGAACAGCACAGGTGTTGTCAAATCAAAACTAGGCCAAGTCAAAGAAAAACCGTTTGCAGAAATCCCACCAGCAAACACTCAGCTACGGTCAGGCGAGCGGCCGAGCGGGTATTCCACTCGCCACCACCTATCATAGGGGTGATGCCTTGCCCAAAACATGCCGATGATGGCTCCGCCGCCTGGAAGCAGCGCCTTGAGGTCGCTTGGCGTCAGGTTCCAGAGTCTGATCATTTCGCCATGTTTTCGGGCCGTTTGGCCTTCCTCCAGTTTCGACACTCGCTCATCCACTTGTTTTTTCACAGCTTGAAGCTCAGACCTAGTCATTGTTTCCAATCTGCCTGCAGCCCCTTTTCCAAAGAGAGCATCGTCGTAAGATTCCAAGGCTTGTTTCTTCAGCTCAGAGAAGGCCTCTTGGTTTTGCGTGTCAAGTTGCGACACGCAGGCGAGAACACCCAAGTCAACCTCTTTTTGCACTTGACCACCCATCAGTGCCACCACTTGGTTTTGCTCTGACTCAGGGACCCCTGCAAGCACGTGCCTGACGAGAGCTTTGATGTAGTCAAGCCTGACGATGCCGCCATTCTTTCCAGATCCAAGACCTTTGCTTGGCAACTCAACTCCAAGGCTTTTGCACGTCTGCTCAAGCTGAGGGACAGTCATGTCCACTCCTTTTCGCAACGCTTGTTTCAAGACCCACTGGTCTTTTTGCATAATCTCAAAACAGCACCCCAAGTGGGCCATCTCAGGTGGTAGAGCTGCAGGAGGCACGATCTGAACGGTCACGTGGGTCCAGACAGGCTGAGTTTGGGACACCGTGTAGTTGAACATGGTTTCAAGGATGTCTGAATCAGAGCTCATTGCCAAATACTCCTGGTCAAAGGTTTGCGCTTATTATTTGTCATCAATTCAACTCGGGGAGTTGGAAAAATAACTCACCGAATTGATTCAAGCGTTTTGGTGGGCCTGGAACCCTAGAACGGCTTGGGCGTTCAACCCCCCCTTTTTCTAAAGAGTTGTTGAAGAAATACTCATTTCACTGGTGGGTCTAAAAATGTTTAAAGAGCCTTGGTGGGCCTGGAACCCTAGAACGGCTGGGGAATTCAACCCCCCTTTGTCAAAAAACACCACCGGTGGGCCTGACAATGTTTCAAGGGTTCGCCTGGAACCCTAGAACGGCTTCCCCTTGTTCTAAACAATGTAAACTATGTTCCCCCCTGTCCTTGTTGCCGACCTTGACGCAAGTCAACCGTGCCCCGATACAGCACCACTGCTTGAACCCAAGCGACAGGAAATGCTCACGCTCCTTGCGGTGGAAGAAAACGCTGCCGCGAGACAGGAGGACTCCTGACGAGGGTTTTGGGAGCTTCGAGGGTGTTGGGGACTTCGGAGAGGTACAATAGTAAGGAAAAGCATGCCCCCATGAAAACGTTTACCTCAACAGAGTGGTTGCAGATTTCCAATGAAAACAAGGCGGTGCAGTCCTGCCCACGCCATACTGCAGTGCTTGAACTCATTGTGACAGTCAGCCATGAGATAAAGAGCTGCAGCCGACGCTCGGTAGTGGCTCAATGGCCCACTATTCCTCCACTGAGACTTTTTCACCCCAGCCGCCGAACCAGGGATGTGAATGTCCTCCCCTGTGGGGAGCTCAGTGCTGGAAATCTTGAATGCATTGTTGAACTTCTTTTGCAGCTCAGACCTCTCCTTGCTGAACTGTTTGCGCCATCTCACCCATGCTCCAGTGTCTGGCAATAGCTGGCTCATACCAGAAGCATTCACATATTTTGATGTTGAGGCGTAGAACCAAACTGCGTGGCTTGCGATTTTCTTGTTTTTGCAGGTTCTGGAAGCAGCGTCTTGCAGGTCAGCAAAAACTGATTCGAGGATTTCTTTTGTAGAACAACTCCCCAAGAAGCACCTGAGGGCAAGCCGGCGTGCTTGGTACTCCTCCTGATTGTCCAGCTCAAAGTTTGCCCTCAGCAATCTCACCATGAACTCTCTAGCCAGCGGTTCCTCGGTCCAACCGAGGTCTCGCAAGCAGGAAGCAAGGGCTGACTTCGCCTTGCCTTTTACATGTTCTTCTGCTTTCATAACTGATTCAACCAGCTCTTTCAACTTGCCCATGCCCTCCTTGCGACCATTTTCTGTAGCCATCAAAAGCGTTGCGCATGCCAGCGGAAGGGTAAACTGATACAGAAGTTGCCCCCAAGCATAGTTTGAAGCCAAGCAAACGCTGAAGTCAACGGCTTTGCTTGCCAGCTCAATGTCGTCAGCCAAGCAAGGGCTTGAAATGTCTACGGGGGGGTTACAGGCAGGAGTCAGCCTCATTGCTGCGTACAAACTTGGGTCAGTAAGAACTTGCAGAATCGCG